TGGAGACCTGTTTAAGTTCCAGGAGAGAACTGAAGGTTGAGAAACAGCGAGGCATAAGAAAGTGGGGGAGAGTGTTTCAGGCGGAGAGAACTGTGTAAAGATGCACCAGGATAGGAAAGAATTTACTATTTGAAGAATCAACAGGAGGCCATTGTGGCTAGGGTGAAATGTGTGAGGGTGGGCTGAATTTGAATATAAGGCAAAAGTGATTAGCCAGCAGACTTTCCATGATTCTGAGGTGGTTTTCAGTGTTTAAGGATTAGGTGGGACGGTATGCTAGAGTACTCCAGCCTCACAGGAGCATTCGAAAGGGTATTGCCTATGAACAAGTCACTTTCTCGGTTGCCAGCAGGAAGTGACACGGGCCTAACTAGCCCCTTGCCGTAGTACCCAAATCAGATGAAGTGGCCAGCAGTGCTTGTCAGTTGAAAGTTCCTGTCTGTGCAGTGTGTTTTAGGAGTGCCACAGCAATTCCCGTGTTGACACTGATGATACTACATGTTCAGACTTGTTTAAAGGGGTATTTAGTAGCTTAGTAGAGCATGGAAACAACATAGCTCTCTCTTCTCACCAGAGAAGAGAGCTTTTTATTCAGAGCTTGGTGCTTTCTCTCCCTCTCTCTGTCATTCACTTTTAGTCCCTCCATGTCTTCTATGATCGTTTATCTTCAGACACAATTTTGATAATGTCTTCCCAACTATTCTTCACTTGTATCAAGTTCAGAATTCGTGTTCAGAGTCCAAGCTTCAGTAACCATCTTCTTTACTTTCCTGCTTTTGAATTCCAGCCAAAGATTACCTCGTCATCATTTTGATGGCTTCCTGCCTGAGCTAGTCCCACCTCCATAAGTTGGCCTTCTCCTGCTAGCCCAGGCTGCTATTATTACCTTGCCAGGGAGCAGTGGGAAAAATCCTGATGACCTTTGACCACACACTTACTACTTCTAGATGCTCACCAGGAACTTTTCTAGCCTCGTTTCTGGTGACCTTCTGCTTTGATCACTTCCTAATAAATAAATGCCCTTTTGTCATCTTATGCTGAGTGTGCTTTAAGAGCCTACGGTCAGGGGACTGGTCCCTGGATCTTATGGGCTCACAGGAATGCAGGAAATGACCATTAGGTTTAGTCAGATTGACCTGAATTTGCATTCGTTAGTTATCTTTTAGGGCCTTATTATGTTGTTTTGGCTTCCGTGTTGCTTTTTTTTTTTTTCTCCTGGACCAAGTGAGTGGTGACATGAGGAAAGTGAAGTGGACATTCCTTTGGGAATTGTGAAACAAGCAGTTTCTGTAGCTACCCTACCCTGGTTACTGATTTCTGTGTTTTGGATTTTAGAGCTTGTTGATAAAATTGTAATAAGGAGCAGGTGGGGAACCTCTGGCTGAAATGAAACTGGCAAAAATGTTCTGGAGAAATATGCCTGAACCTCTGAGAAACAGTGCTTCATCCTGTAGATTACTTAGACACTGCTATGCTCTTGGATCTCTAGACTTCACATCTCTAGCAAACAGTATCTAACAAATACACAGCCCTAAAGTATTCAGTGAAGGCCTCTGATTTCACCAAGCGTTCTTGTCCAGAAACTAGTGAATTGTACCCAAAAGTACATTTCTGCCTTGGACAATAGTTTGCAGTCATAAGTTTTTCCAGTAATCTTATGTGAGTCATGATGTTAGCTCTCACCTGTTCCATGCTCTCCACTTCCCCGTCTTAGGCACTGTGTGCACGTGGGAAAACCAAGCAGTGCAGACAGAGGTGGTTAGCTATGATCAGGGTCACACCTCAAACCTTTGTTTAAAAAAAAAAAGTTTCAAAGCCCCAACATCCCAACATCCCCCTGTTCAAGCCCCAGCTTCCCTGCACTCACTTTCTCACACAGGCAGGTTATTTGACTGGTGTGAGTCTGTGTACATAGCTGTAAATGAGAATTTTTATGACAGCCGAAGCCCGGTGCCTACTGTATTGGAGGCAATCAGTAGCTATTGCCTTATTTTCCCAAGAGACCACGTTTCCCCTCTGAGCATTGTTTTATTTATCCCCTCTGTGTTACAACACTGTTTTCACTCTCTGGGTACTACAATGTAATAAGAAATGCATTAAAATATTTTAAACACATAGTGTCTTATACCCAGAATTGTCATAGAGCCTCAGATAGAGGAGAGAACCTTCCGCCGTGGCCCTGTTCACTAGGTCACTTCGGTTCAGGGGCAGGATAAATGTAACACACAAGACACAGCAGTTTTCCAGGTTACAATAGCTCTTTCCCTACTGTTGGTCATGTTTTTATTTCCCAACACCACCTGCGTCCTGTTAACACAGCTGTCATTACTTTAAGGTAGTGTTTCTGCCAGCCGTGGAGAGGAGACGTGTTGTCTGCAATAAATGACATCATGTGCTCGGGGAAGCTGGTTGCCCTTGAGTCCACCTGCTGCTTTCCTCGCTTCCAAACACGTCTGTTCACTTCCTCCCGCAACGCATTTTCTCCCTCGCGTCTTTACTTCCTCGTTGCCTTATTCATTCACTTACTGCCTCATTCCCTCCCTCGCAGAATCTTGTTTTGCATTAGGAAAACCCATCTCATAAGATGTCTGTCCCCAGTGACAGTGACGTCTGTCCCCTTGTGCCTCCCTTTAGGCTCAAGTTGGACTTCAGGAACAAAAGGCAGCAGCAGATTGAATGCCACCATGGCTTCATTTGTCTTTTGCTTTACTTCTGATTCACCCTCGTCACTGTCCCTGCAAATTAAGCTAGCATGCATTCTTGGTCCAGGTGGCAAACTGTTTCTCTTCCTACAATTTGGATAAGAGCTGCAACAGTGTAAGTTGGGTCAGTCAGTTGCAGCCAGGAGGGAGTGATGAGGTAAAGCTGTGGTGGGGAGAAGAGCACAGAGGAAGATGCTGAGCTTCTCATCCCACAGGCATCACATGGTCCTGCTGTCCCGGGCCACTGGCTCTTGGCTGGGAATTTAAAATGATCCCAAACAGTAAGGTTTCTCGCAGCCATGGGATGAGAGATGGATGTGCTACCAAGTACGTGTGGAAGAGTGATGTCGGCTTAGTAGTAGTGGAGGAACAGGTTAGATAGGAGCAAAACAATAGATGATCAATAGTTTCTGTCAGACTCCACTAGGCTTTGCCAGTGCTGGTGTGTGCACAGCTGGACATGTTGTAAGCCTTCTCAAAATGCCTGAGCCTGTTGAATTGTTAGGCACTCCAGGGACTAGGGGAGAGCCATGGCATTTTCTCATTACCCGGCATTATTTGCTCTTTGATTAAGAAGCCTCTTGAACACAAGGCTTTTTGAATTACTGAGGTTTTCTTTTTTTTTTTTAAGAAAGCGTAAAGGATGCCTTGACATTTTTTGAGTTCCAGAAACTGACATTTTAGAGAATTCAGTTGTTGTCGATTATATAGTCCCTTTGATAGCACTCTAAATTGTTTTTAAAGCCTTTCCAACAAGACCAATTCATTAATTGGTTTTACAGCTCAGGTGACCTGGTACTAAACTGCTTTGTTAATCACAGGTTCTTGGCAGGTTGGAGACCTGCTGTTTTTGAGGAGCCTGAGCGCCTTGCTGTGGTGGTACTTGTTCGTAGTACTCCCCTTTTGATCACCCCGACTCCTGTCTCACTAGGGGGACCTTCTGTGTCTTAGTCCAGAAGTCCTTTCAGCTCGGGTGCCTCAAGCAGCTTACTCAGTCCTGTTACCCTTAGCCTTGCAGATCCAGACTTAACCAGGGCTTTTTATGGTCCTTCATCTCTTATTGCTAACTTGTATGCTCTAACATACAAGTTAAAGAAATTATGGTATATTTTTGTAAAGATTTATTTATTTATTGAAAGGCAGAATTACATATAGGGAACAATAGACAGAGATGGATCTTCCGTCTGCTGCTGCTCTAGGCCAAAGCCAGAAACCAGGAGGCTCATGTGGGTCTTCCACATAGGTGCAAGGGTCCAAGGCTTTGGACCATCTTCCATTGCTTTCCCGGGTCACTCACAGGAAACTGAATCAGAAGTGGAGCAGCCTGGGTTGGCACCAGTGTCCCCTTATGAGATGGACAGCAGCTTAAATTGCTATCCCATAATACCAGCCCTCAAAAGTTACAGTCTTGGGCCCGGCGCGGTGGTGCTTGCACGCCCGGGATCCCATATGGGCGCCGGTTCTAATCCCGGCAGCCCCGCTTCCCTTTCAGCTCCCTGCTTGTGGCCTGGGAAAGCAGTCGAGGACAGCCCAAAGCTTTGGGACCCTGCACCCACGTGGGAGACACGGAAGAGGCTCCTGGCTTCAGATCGGCATAGCATCGACCGTTGCGCTCACTTGGGGAGTGAAACATCGGATGGAAGATCTTCCTCTCTGTCTCTCCTCTCTGTATATCCACCTTTCCAATGAAAAAATAATAAAAATAAATCTTTAAAAAAAAAAAAGTTACAGTCTTTACTTTCGCTCGTTAATACTTCACATCTGGTGGACAGGTAGAAGTTAATGCAGATACCCTGTAGCTTTGTCTAAGTGTCTCCCAGTGCCAACAGCATCCTTTAAAAACTGTTAAATAGGGTTGGAACTGGGACGAGGATGTAGTCAGGATGGAGAACAGTTGCCACGGTGTTTTCACACACAGGTTCTTTTCACTGTTCTTTCCCTTACTCATCAGACTCTTCTCTCAGTGTTCTTGGTGATGTATTCATTGACCCAGGAATTTAGCTGACTCACACGTATATCAGGTTTTTATCTTCTCCTTGATAGGCTAATTAGAATTCTCATGTTGTTAGTGTCTGGCAGCTATCATCCCTGAAGCGACTTGCCAGAAAGGCGTATCATTTAAATGGCTCAAGTTGGTTTTAAAAATCATGTGAGAGCCTGGCCGGCTGGGAACTGGATTTGCCTTAATTTTAGGCGAGGCACATGAGGGTGAAGTGCACGCAGGGGCTGGCATGGTGCTAATCCTTTGAGACTTCAGAGTCGTAACCAGGGATGCTTCCTACTCCTCCTCCCAAACAGGGCAGTTCTGTACAGAGGATGTGGATGAGTGCCTGCTGCAACCCAACGCCTGTCAGAACGGGGGCACCTGTACCAACCGCAACGGGGACTACGGCTGTGTGTGCGTCAACGGCTGGAGTGGAGATGACTGCAGTGAGAACATCGACGACTGTGCCTTCGCCTCCTGCACCCCCGGCTCCACCTGCATCGACCGCGTGGCCTCCTTCTCCTGCATGTGTCCAGAGGGAAAGGCAGGTAAGGCCCGCGTAGCACAGAGCTGGAGGGTGGGCAGGGGTGTGTGGGCGAGCATCCAGGGCTTCTGCCGCCTTCTCCTCCGCTTGGTGGCTCGGTTACCACTTGGGCTATTCTTCTGGAAATACGTTCTGTTAAAGTACTATAAGCTCTCTCTTAGGATTTGGACTTTAATGTCAAGTCTATGTACCTCAGGTTTGTTTTTGTTCCAAAACCAGAAACAAAACAGAGCAACAAAAAGCCTCACTGTTGTCTGTAATCTAGTGAACTCCTTAGGCTGAAAATCACCTTAGTGATTACGATAAAATTACTCATAGCCGGGTGAACAGACTTGAAAGATTCCATTTACTCACAAGGAGTTGGCAGAAGAGATGTGTTTAAGTACATTTCAACCCTCAACAACTGTGGAAATGCTCCTGTAAGGGAGGGTTTTTCAGACCACAGAGTTAACGCTGCCAGCAGCTGCTTCTGGTTCTCTGTAGAAGAGCAACATGGGAGACAAAGGTGATGGAAGAAAGAATTTTCTGTCCAGAAATTCTGGAATGTTCTTCTCTCTGTGCCTTTTAAAGGTTCTGCCCACAGCTTTGTGGAAAATGACTTGGCTATCTGTTCTTAAGTTAATTGCAGACTGGAAAATCCAGTTCCAATGTGAACTCTACCATGCAGAAAGCCTAGCTGTGTCTTCAGAGACCTGGGAGCACCTCGGGCAGGAATGCCGATGCTGTTACAGGGCTGCTTGGCTAGATGCTGATAAAGTCCAGTGGCCTCTCCTCCAGAGGGTGCCGAAATGCTGGTGGTCCCTGGATCACTGGGTAGAATGATATGAGGGAAGCTTAGTGCCAGATAAAATTGAGGATGCATGGGATACTTGAGACATAGTTACTTAAGCTAAACACTGTTTCTTGATTGTAAATAAAACTGGACACCTCCCATTCTTATTTGCTCTTCGGTACCATTTGGAGGCCATCTACATTTTTCTCTCTCCTTATTGTCTGTCCTGTGGCTGGCTCTAGCTTGGAGGAGAGCGCCACTGAGGCCTCACAGAGCACATGGGTTGTCCTAAGCAACTGGCTGCTTTGCAGGTGGCTGTGGCAGATCCCCGAGGTAGGATCAGGCTAAAGTTGCCTCTGCAGCTCCATGTTGGGGATTTGATGAACGTCTGTGATACACCAGAAAACTCCTTCCCAAGGGAGACACATCTTCCCTGTTCCTTGCCCACAGGTCTCCTGTGTCATCTGGACGATGCATGCATTAGCAACCCTTGCCACAAGGGGGCACTGTGTGACACCAACCCTCTGAATGGACAGTATATTTGCACCTGCCCACAGGGCTACAAAGGCGCTGACTGTACCGAAGATGTAGATGAGTGTACCATGGGTGAGTACACAGAACCTCCCCTCTTCCTTGCACTATGTGTCCAGCTTGACAAGTGTCTGAATTGAAGCTCATTTTATGCCAGGAGTCTGTTATGCCCAAACCTCGGATTTGCCCCATTCTACATCCAGACTTTACAACTTATGTTTTCCACATAGATGTGTGTTCCATCCAGGGAGTTAAATATAAAGTGTATCTATACTTGATTTTGAGTGGAAAGCCTTACCTCAGGAACAGTTGAGACAGAGGAATGGCAGAGATGCAGAAGAAAGGAGGTTTCCCTAATCTTAGCGCTTTTTCAGATTAGGGAGGAAAATCAAAAGTCATGAGTGAGTTTGTTTTTAAGAGTGACTGGTGTTGTAACCATCAGACCCCCTTCCATAGTTCACATTTGTGGAGACTACCGACTGCTTGGATACCAGTAACTGGAGCTTGTGTCTTACAGCCAACAGCAATCCCTGTGAGCATGCAGGAAAATGCATGAATACAGATGGTGCCTTCTACTGCGAGTGTCTAAAGGGCTACGCAGGGCCTCGCTGCGAAATGGACATCAACGAGTGCCATTCAGACCCCTGCCAGAATGATGCCACCTGCTTGGATAAGATAGGAGGCTTCACGTGTCTGTGCATGCCAGGTGAAGGGGCTTCTCAGGGAGGAGGGGCTGCCCTGCACCGTTCACGGCACACTTTGCGTGCCCTGTAACAATGTTGTGTGCTCGTCAGGAGGTCAGTCCTGTGTTGACGATGGATTGTAGGGAGTCAGCTTGCCAGGCAAACCTTTTTCTACAGAGGAAGGCAGCATTGGGATTTGTAGAGCTCTGCAGGCCAGATTTTAAAAAGCCCATTATGTCAAAATCCAAAATCCATGTAATAGAAAGTTTTAGAAGCAAACAACTCATGCAAATTTCATGAATGTCAGACATTTCTGATTCCCTTGATAATGTTATAACTATCTTAGTATTTCTTTATAGAAATAAAAATTTCCCATGTTTGTAATGGAACTTGGCCATTAATCCAACATGAGGCACCTATGCAGTTATGTTGTGGAGGTACTTCTGAAGCAGTTACCTCTTACGTTCTCAGAGGACACAGCCAAATCTGGCCTGGAACAGTGGCTGATGTTGCTTGCTCTGCCTCCTTAAGGGTGCCAGCCATCCTAGCCCTGCCAGTCTTCACCTGTACCCTGAGCACAACAGTAGCTATTCCTCAGCTGGGCTTGAAGAGCCGAGAGTGGGAGGGCTCTCAGCCTGGCGTTGTCCAGAAAGGATGGATTGATTGGTCATGGAGTATGTGGTACAGCCACTGCTTGCGTGCTGAGGTTTCCCCATGTCTCTGGAAAGCGGCACCTTCTTTTCCCAGTAATGCGGGTTTCTCACAGAATCCTCTGTCCAGCTGATTCTTATAGGGACTATTCCCCATCACTGTAGAGTCCCTTGTCACTTGGCAGAAAATGTTCCTGCTCATAGAGGCTGTAGCCATGTTTGCAGATTTATGTTTTCTTGGCTTGAATATGGCCTTCTGTCTTTGCAAACTACTTGTGTGGTCCATTTGGTTCAGGTTTCAAAGGTGTGCATTGTGAATTGGAGATAAATGAATGTCACAGCAACCCCTGCGTCAACAATGGGCAATGTGTGGATAAAGTCAATCGCTTCCAGTGTCTCTGTCCACCTGGTAAGTGCTCATCGCCTGCCCTTGTTTCCTTTTAAAGCCCAAAGCTGAGTGACCGCAGGGAGAGGAGGAGGGTGAGAGTGTGTGTGGGCTGCACATGAGGAAGTCATTACAGAGAGTACTTGGTGAGAGGAGTGTATGTGTGTACAGAAAGAGGGGATTTGTTTTAGCTAGTACGTCTTCCAAATCCTTTGTGGTCAGAAGTCCAAGTCTGTTCTTGAATGGTCCATGACCCTTCAGTCTGTGTCTGTATCTGAACTCTTGCACCCCATACACACCTTGGTTGTGGGCTGTTCAGGGCTTTATTTCTTCCCCCTGGCTCATGCTCTTGAAGCTCTGCTCTGTGAGTGTTACTTTGAGATGCTTGATCATGCAAGGCCAGAATCCAGAAACAGACAACACATGTCACTGGTTCCCAAGACGCTGTGTCTCTTCTTTGTTCCACAAGCTGTTTTGAACACATGCCACATGGTCTGGCAGAGACGAGAGCCCTCCCCGTGTTTCTTCAGGGGGAAGCTCCCCTGCCTTTGAAGCTGCAGCCATGTGTTTTAGACCTTCACCTGTACCAGAGTTTACTGTCCTCCCTTTGGTCTCTGATTAGTGAAATTGCTGTTTAACATAGTAGGGGAGACATACTACAGATTCCTCTGTTCCCTGAAACTTGCCTACTTACTCTGCTTCCCTGCTAGGGAGGAGTGTTCCATGCTTACAGACCCTTTGGTACCAGGCCGGCCAGTATATTAGCGTACTGTCTCTGGGGATGGGTCTCACAGTAGGTGAGGACTCGGGATCCTCCTGTGATGTATGTTGTTGCTCTGCCTTTGAAGGTTTTACAGGGCCGGTATGCCAGATCGATATTGATGACTGTTCCAGCACTCCATGTCTGAATGGGGCAAAGTGCATTGATCACCCGAATGGCTATGAGTGCCAGTGTGCCACAGGTAAGCTGTTGCTCTCATGTGGTGTCCCCGGGAGGCCCCTTTAAACCACTTAGGCGACTGTCTTCTCATGGCTGCTTTGGCCAGCCAGTCCACTTCCAGGCACTGCTCAACGAGAGCTTTGCCAGCAGACATTCTGCTGTTCTCATATCCCCTCCTGCAACACCTGCCACAGACAAAGTCTAGCCCAGATATTACCATTTGGTGTCCATGTCTTTCTGGGACAGATTTTGGCAAAGTAAGTTTCCAGCTGGTTTGCTAGACTCCTTTGGGAAAGAGAAGAATCTCGGTTAAAAACTATTTTTTGTTGGGGCTTCTCAGCAGGAGGTCTGTCTCTGTGTTTCTTAAAGGCAGATGACCGAAAAATGGCCCCTAAACCTAAGGGCAGGATGTACACAATGCAGAGGCTTGTGTGTGAGACAGTATGTGTGCCTCAGAGCCAGGTGCATGACTGACAGATGGAAATGCTGACTGGGAATGCGAGGGGACTCGTGAGGACTTCTGCTGCTAGCCCAGGACGTGAACACTCCCATTGTTGGACCTGTTTAGACCAAGCCACCTCAAAGGAGCCATGTACCTGTCCTTTTTGCATGCCTTGCTGCGTGTTGGAGAAGTTCTGGCCTTTTCTTTCCCAGCCAGAGCCTTTTCCTGGAGGATGGGCTTCGTTAGAGAGAGGCTTAGCAGTCTGATCTGGACTCTGACCTGGGTTTAGTGGAGGGGAGGAAGATACGCGTGGGCTGCTTAAGCCGTGGGTGCTTGCTATGGTTTTGTTTTTGTTTTTTTGTTTTGTTTTGTTTTTTGGTTCCCTAAGCACGTGTGAAAAGCACGGCATAACTCTGGGAAGCATGGAAGGGATATAGGAGATAGGAGATGGCGAGGGTGAAGGTGAGGGGTTTGGGAGGAGGATGCAAGCTTCTGCAGAAGCACGCAGCCCACCAGCGTCTGGTGAGACGCAAGGATGTGGCTTCAGCAGCCCTACCACAAGGTACTTCCCAGTCCTAGGGAAGTTTGAGTCCCACTCCCACAACTGGTCCTCACCTTGCCGGCGTCTCCCCAGTCCAGCCTCCTAAGAGCCTGCAAGTAGCTGCTGAGGAGCCAGCCTAGCCGTCTTCACCCCTGCAGGCCCGGGGTGTGCAGGGCTAAGGCAGGAAGGCAGCTCTGGCAGGGTTCATCATCTCCCTGGTGGGTTTCTCCCCAAGGCTTCACCGGCGTGTTGTGTGGGGAGAACATCGACAACTGCGACCCTGACCCCTGCCACCACGGCCAGTGCCAGGATGGCATTGACTCCTACACCTGCCTCTGCAACCCCGGGTACATGGGCGCCATCTGCAGCGACCAGATCGACGAGTGCTACAGCAGCCCCTGCCTCAACGAAGGGCGCTGCATCGACCTGGTGAACGGCTACCAGTGCAACTGCCAGCCAGGAACGTCAGGTAAGTCCACCCTGCTCATGTTTGGCTGGGGCTTCTCAGAAACAGTGTCCACAGATGTTCTGACTTCCTTGGCTTATGCTCGGATACCTAAAAAGTAGTCCTGGTGTGGAGAAGCACAGCCAAAGCAACAAAGATAAATATCTCAAAGGCAGATGGCCTGGACCCCTGGAGGAGTTAGACACAGGCTCTGCCAACCCAGTGAGCGTGTGTGTGTGTGTGTACACATGTGTTCATGCATGCAATAGACAGGGCATTTTGATCAGTAGAGGCGCACAGCTTCAAAAACTGATGTCTTTAAAATTGAAAGACTTCTTGTAGCTTGGTTTTCTGGAGGCCCAACCACACCCAGATGAAATCAGCCCCCTATTGTCCCTCCCTTTGTCCCAGCAGTCTGCTCTCTCACACACAGTCCAGTCTTTTTTTAACAAAATGGTGTATTTCTTGTGCTGCTCATCTCCGGGAGGCCCAAGTGTGCTGGAGACTCTGAGGTAGAGCAGACCTTGTGTCACATCCCGGTACCTGGGAGGTAGGCTGCAGAACTCCCTGGTCTGTCTGAAGATTCATTTCTGCCCCCTGACCCTGCGTGAATGGATACTTGGTAGGAGTGGGGGGGCGGTGCCCCTTGTGCGGGAGATTCTGAATTATTTTCCCAGGCAGCAGCATTTCACAGGTCTCACTGTTTTACTTATTAGAGGAATGATTGTAGCCCAAGCCATGTAGAGTGGACAGAGAAGTGCCCTGTTGCAGATCAAAGGAAAGTGCATTAGTGGAAGGTTAAGTAATGTGTGCCTTCATTAGATGGGAGCCTGCCAATGTAAGGGAGTGGTTTATTAAGTCTCCTCTGGACTTAGGAAAGTGCCTTGTGTAGGGGGCAGAGGTAGGGGAGGTAGTGAGCTGCCCTTGCTTTATTTTGTTATTTCCAAATTCATTTCTTCAAACTTGTCAAAGGCTCTGGTCTTCATCCAGGGCCTCATACATGCCAAGTTTGAAAACAAAGTCCTTTTTGAATTGCTCAAGCATACGAAAAACATCCCATGCCTTCACAGCTGAGAATGCCTCCCCCCTCCCCACATTTAGATAACTCACTAAACGGGCTGAATGGATCTTTGTGAAGCCTTCCAAAAGCAACTTGCTTCCGGGCCGGTCCCCAGACATGAGAAATTGCAGTGCAAAAAGAAATGTGAGCGATTTACAAGTGATTGAATGGGTGCCTTTAGAATAGAGGGGCTGTGTGAAGCCTTGCTGTCACCCTCACTCTAACAAATGTGCTAGAGGCCCGCGTGGGCGGTGGCTTGGCCAGCACCGTGTTTTCTCTGGGATTTTGTCGCTGTGCATGAGTGCCTCAGGTGTGTCTTCCGGGGGAGGACAGAGAGCACATGGTATATATCACTGTCAGTGAGACAGGCAGAAGGAGATCTCAGTGGTGTGCAGCAGGCAGCTTGGAAAGCAAGGCCCAGAATCTCTCAGAACCTTGCCAAGGCCATTGCAGCTGTTTGGAGAATTAATACAAAAGAGGGGCAGACAACACAAAGATAAGTTCGTCTGTACCGGGCAGAAAGAGAGAGAGCTGGCCTGTGCCAGGTCCTTGGTCCCTGAGTGGAAAGTCCATTAAGCGAGGCATGACGAACAGACGTGAAGGCATGATGAAGTTCTACACCAAGGCACCTCATCCATTTATCATATGGTTCACACGGGCAGTCTGCTGTTGGGAGGGATTTTTGCAGGTTCCTGGCTGGACTCGTGAGCACTCGCTGGTGCTCATGGTAAGAGCCACTACCCAGATCACTTGTTGTGCCTTCCTTCTTCACCTTCTTGTAATTACACCTTCGGGAAGTTTTCTTTGGGTTTTGAGTAACAGAAACCAACTTGTGTCAGTTTAAGGAATTACTTACACACACATGAACACAAGAGTCGCAGGCAGAATTCAGTGCAGACACACAGAAACATCTTAGAGATTGTCAACAAGAAATGTACAGTGAGGCTTTGGAGAGAATTGTCCGATGCAGGATGATTTGTAGCCTGGAGATCATGTTGGTCAAATGTCAGTGTTCTGATGACAAAATCCCAACATCTGGCTTCATCTAGGTGTCCGTCTTTTCTCTGCTAAACCGTGGATAGACACATTGGATGCCAGGGCTCCATGAAGCTGCCTTCATGGATTGTAGATAAATAAGGTTGTCAGTCACAGTAAGAAATATCTCCTAATGGTAACTAAGGGATATGAAATCCTGCCTTCAGTTATGACTGGTGAAACTGGACAGGCTCTTTCATCAGCCTGTGTGATAGACGGGGGTGGGCACTGGGCGCACCTCAAGTAGGGACACCGCCAGGGGATCGTAGATCCCAAACGGGAGTGCCTGGCTGCAAATACCGGCTCTGCTCCCTCCTCCAGCTTTCTGCTAACCGGCAGCCTGTGGTGATGGCTCCGTGTGTCGAGTCCCTGTCACTCCTGTGGGAGACCCGTCTTGAATTGAGTTACAGGTTTCTACCCTCATCCTGGGCCAGTGCTGGCTCTCACGGGGACATTTTGAGAACAAACCAGCAAATCAAAGATTTCTTAATCTTTTTGTCTTTTCAATAAATAACATGAAAGTAAGTTTTCAAGAAAATTTAAAAAAAGAGAGTTGATAGCATGCTGGAGCCAAGAGACAGATTCAGACTCTAGCTGTTCTGCCCTAACGGTGTCACTGCCAGTCGCCTGTGTTTGAGAAGCTGGTGTGAAGCCTTGGATGTGCACACTGGGTGAGAGGCTGAGGCTGCCTCACAGAGGGCTAGATAGAATGTTTTCCCAGTAGTAATGCTTTGGTTCTAATGTTACAGTTACTAAATGCAGAAAATTGTGGCTTTGTGACCTGGAAGGTTTATAAGTTTTATTTTTTTTAGCAAGTTATGTCTCTAAGCTCTTTAGATTCTACCAAAATAGTCTTCTCTGATACCAGGAAACATCACTGAATTCTTAGGGAAGAAATAGTGAAATACCTTTGAGTACTTTGGTAGAATGATGCTCACAGTGGTTGCTGAGGTACTCTTGGCACAGCCAGTTCCTTCCAGGTCACAGAAGAAGAGACCAGAAGGAAAGTCGCACACACAGGAGAAAACTTTCTCACTTTGAGACTGGTTCTGAACTTTGGCCGTGACACTGGCAGCCAGCCTTAAGCCAACAGCTTAAGCTAACAACTAAGTTGATGGGTGCAACTCGAAAAACTCTCAATTCTGATTTGATAGCTGAAATTTAATGGCATAAAATCCTAACAAGTGTTTTCCTCAGAATGGCAGGTTTGTTTGTTTCAGTTAGTGTTTGCACAATTCTCAAGGTGAATTGACCCTGGTTTTTCTCTCAGGTATAGTTTCAGCAAAAGCAGGTTTTGTGAAAACCAGCAATTCTGGAGTAATCCTTGCATCTTGACATGCTCAAAACCAGGTTTCGTGCACTCTGTGTCATCACAGGGTGTAGCATATGGGCTCCTGGGCTGGGGATTGATACCATTGTGAGATTAGTCATTTTTAACCTGTTTTCCAAAGCGGGCCTCGGTGAAACTGGCTTTTCTGAATGTTTGTTTTGACTGTGAGTACAGGGGGTTTGAAGAATGCAGGGACTGCTGGTAGCATTGGGTGCCTTCATTCCTGCTGGGACGCAGCAGTTTCAGTCCTATTGCCTTTTCACCACTGCTGTGAGCAGGTCTACACGGCGAGAAGGCGGGTAAGAGCCCCGTGTGATCGATCAAGCCCTCTTGATCCCAAGATCCCCCTGCAGGAGTGGAGTCAGTGCACTGCATATGGAGCGGGGCTGGCTGGAGTCTCCTGAGGTCTAGAGACAGCACCACAGGCAGAGGGTACAGCTGGTAACAGGCCCCTGGTTTTCCCCTTTGCAGGCGTCAATTGTGAGATCAACTTTGATGACTGTGCAAGCAGCCCTTGTGTCCATGGAGTCTGCGTGGATGGAATCAATCGCTACAGTTGTGTCTGCTCACCGGGATACACAGGTACAGCTGCCGCCTCGGCCCCGGACTTACTTTGGGAAGATGGTGTCTCTGGGAATGTTGCTTTTGCAGTGGCTCCTCTGTCCACTGTATCTCTGGAAAGTTAGAATTCCATTTCCCTGCTTGCCTGCCCCAGCTTCCCACTCAGAGACCTTTGCTAATTTATATCATTGCACCTTAGGGCTTTTAGACCAAGTGTTTATTATTACCCAAGAGGAGACCCGAGGGGTCACATACAACTCGGAGAGATCACTTTATTTTGGCCAGCATGAGTGAATTCTTCCTGCTAGAAAGAAGAAAGTAAAAGGCTAAGCGTAACTTTGAGTATATCTTTTTCTCAGGTGTAAACAGCTAGAACATTTGTACATGAGCAGGCGTGCACACATGCACATACACTCTTTCTCTGCTGTCTACTTGCTGTTATTTTCCTGTATCTTAACTGGCTGACCAAAAAGTGCTGGAGGCTCCTGAGGAAAGCTGTGGTTCCCTCGCTGACACCTAGTGTTGCACCCAGGGTGTGTTCTTTGCTTTCTGGGCAGTGTCACACAGAGCAGGCACTCACATACTGCTGCCCTTACCTGACTCCGGGCGCACCTCTGTATCCGTGTGAGAAAATCCCTTTGGGGCTTTTCTGCAGAGCCTGCCAGAAGGCTGTCCAGCGCCAAGTAGAGCAAGTGCTGGCCCATACACCTGCCAAGAGCTTCCCTGGCTTTCCTTTCACAAGTATTTGTACTGCTGGGTGTGACTTTGGGTACCCAGCCAGTCCCGGTGCTCCCCGTCTTAAGGACAGTCTCTGGGGAGCCCCTTGGCGGTGCTGTCACTATGGAGTCCGAGTGACTATCAGCTGAACACACAGCAGTCGTTGCCATCTGGGACAGCAGTGCACGTGGCTCTGTGAGTGTGGAAGGAATAGTGACATCTGTGAGGGCCTCAGATCTCACCAGCGTCACTACTGCTGCCGGTCCCATGGCGTGGGGGTGGAAAGTGAGAGCTTCGAGAGGGTCAGTCATGCTGCCAGGGTCTCACCCAGGAGGCTGTGCCCTCCTACACTCCTCCCCGCTATCCTGTACGGGGCTCTGGTGATGTTCGTGCTGCTGAGAGGCCTGGGAAAATCACATCTTTCTCTTTTTAACATTCAGCAAGCCAGGAAGGCCAAGAGGGGCAGACGTAGGCTAAAAATACTCCAGCATAAACTGAAGGTGCAGCATGAAAGTGCACAAGCAACAAGTGGAATGTTTTGGTTGCTGGGTGGTGCTGCTCTCGGAACTGCGTTCCACGTCAGAGATGTTTTCATAAAGTCAGCTGCCAACCATGTCAGCGCCGACTGAGGCTCGGACGCAGGCTCAGCAAGCGGACGACGTTTATTCTCGTCCTGGTTTTATTTTAATACTGCTTCCTCCCACCGTCTTAATAAAGCTGTGATGGATTTAAGGGAGGTTTTCGGTTTTGTGTAAGTCGAAGTCCTCCTCCTAGGACCTGTTTGTGCTTTCTGGTTAAATGTGGGACGGTAAGGCGTCACGTGATGCTCCCGTAAACTGTCTTTTGGTTTCACACAGCACTTTCACATCCTTCGTCTTGCTGAATTATCAGAAAATTCCAGAAACGTAGGTGGGGAGCTTTTATTATCTCCATTGAACAAATGAGGCGAAGGCAGGGCAGCCCCCATGTGCCCCTAACCACCATCGGCTGTGAGCCCTGGGGTCAGCCCCCTGCAGAGCCACGCACACTGGAGAGCCTCAGTGAACACTGCCCACTGAGTGCTTACCAGCCACCTGCCGTCCAGCTCTGACTTGCCTGCATTCAGGAGGCTCCAGTTCATCAGGTGTCCCTGGAGGAAGAGGCCTGGGGTCGGATGTGGACCAGCTGGGACGGACATGGGATGCTGGTCCCACAGGGTGCAGGATTAGCCTGTTGAGCCATAGCACCAGCCCCAAGACAGTGGTGTTTTTAAATAAATTTAATACAGAAACAGCAACTGCTCACCACCACTTCCAGATTATGGGTTTTTACCATAAGGACAGTCAGCAACGGTGTAGGGAGCAGTGGAGAGTGAAAAGTGCTTTGAAGGAATGTGTATCTGTTCCATGTGGAATTTCCTGTTCTAAATGCAGAGTGGTGCTTTCTTTAAAAAAAAACAAAAAACAAAAACAAACTTTTGTTTTTATCTGAATCAAAACCTTGTTTTGATTCACTATAAATTCATCCATATCAGTTTGTTGTCACTCATTTACAGATTTCTTGGTAGTCTTAAAGTTTCATATCATTTTAAAATATACAACTAGGTCTTATTCAAAACTGGGGCCAGTGCCATTGCTCTGCGGGCTAATCCTCCTCTCTCTGGCACCAGTATCCCATATGAGCATTGGTTTGTGCCCTGCTTCTCCACTTCCAATCTAACTCCCTGCTTGTGGCCTGGGAATGTAGCAGAGGGTGTCCCAAGCACTTGGGACCCTGTACCTGTGTGAGAGACCCAGAAGAAGCTCCTAGCTGCAGACTGGCTCACTTCTCTCTGTCTCTTTCTCTCTCTCTCTCTCTCCTCTATAAATCTGCCTTTCAAATGAAAATAAATTTGTAAATAATTATTCAAAATTTAACAAATCAAAACACTCGTGAAACTGGCCACGCGTCTGTGTTCAGCCTAATGCAGTAAAGATGTCTCTTTAAAATGCTGTCTTTAAGGAAGAATATATTCTCTTCCATCTCCCACACTCCCACTGTCTACATTATTTGCAGGTGATAAGTAGTTAATTGGAAAGAGCAGTTTCCCAAAATCCAGGATTCTCCATTTCAAATGTTTTACATATTACAATTTTGAGAACCACTGGGCTAGACTGAGGGTCCCAACATTGTTTTGTGAATTACCAGAGAACAAATAAATTGTACTTAGAGTACCTATTCCCTGAGGCAGAAAAATAGATTAATACAATCCCGAGAATGAAAATAACCTTTCTTTCTAAATCAGTTTAATCAGTAAACTAAGTTAATCGTATATCTACTAGGCATTCCAGTTCATTGTAATGTACCACAGATAGAAATATAAGATTTGACAAACTGAGAACAATGAGTTTGTAGTAAACCATCAGGCAGCACATTGAAGGAAGCTTCTTGGAGGCTCCTCAGAGCACTAACCAGGAGCAGCCATCTCTGATGATGTTCATGGGTTTCTTTGTACACTTAGGATGGAAGGAGAAGGAACCCTGCTTAGTGTGGTGGTAGGTTTCGTCATTACAGAAAGCCGATGCTCACGGTCCTGCTGTGTAATACACTAAGTCCTGTCGGTTACCCTAGTACTTAACTCTTCCCAGTTGGTGTCCCTGGATCATTCAGAGAAAGCATGTCTACAGAAAGGATTTCATTGTTCTGGTCTGTTCTTTAAGCACTTGGGGTCTGAACAATGCTGTTCCCCATCTTCACAGGGCAGCGGTGTAACATCGACATCGACGAGTGCGCATCTAATCCTTGCCGCAAGGGGGCGACGTGCGTCAACGATGTGGATGGTTTCCGTTGCTTGTGCCCTGAGGGACCCCATCACCCAAGCTGCTACTCACAGGTGAACGAGTGTCTGAGCAACCCCTGCATTCATGGCAACTGCACCGGAGGCCTCAGCGGGTGAGCAGCTGCCATGCATTCATGGCTTCTTTTCGACCTGCGTCAAGCCAGTTGGTTTTTAGTACTGACAGTATCCTGGAGAAGCCTTTTGGGAACTTGAGCTGAGACTTGGTTGCAGATTTTGGGATTTTGCCAGAAGGCCTAACAGTCTCTATCTGTGGAATCTGGTCCCCACCCCGTGTGACTGAGGATCCCGATGGAAAATATGGAGGAATGTCTCTTCTACATAAGTAATTGTCAAGGACACATGGCAAGGAGTGCAGGGTTATTGTAGGCTTCTCCAGCAGTCGTCCTTTCGGTGCCTGGCATGTGACTGAGTTCTGTGCAATGCCCTGGCCTTGGTTGTGGTCGCCTACGTAATCATAGCACAACTCTGTGCTATCACTTTCTCCAGTCTGCGTTCTCAGGTCTGTTCTAGACGTGGCCCTGAGAGTGGTGTGATGTCTTAGTCACTTTTTAGAGCCACAGAAACGGACCCTATGTCCTAAAAGGGGTTCTTATAGTATTGCATGTTTGCCATTGGAGGGAGCACCGGGCATTGGCATTTTCAGGTTTCCAGCAAGAGTTAGAAGGAAGGATGCGTTTAAAGGTGAATGGGTAACAAAGTTATTTTGAAACTGAATTGATCACCTCCTTGTGACAGCTCTTCTGCAAAGGAAACTGTCATCTCCTGGCACTGCATTCTAAGTGCTAATGGCGTTCAAACCGGGCCTTAGCTAAACGAACACCTTCACTTCTGTGCTGTTTCTTGATGAATAACCTAGGTGCTTCATGAGGCGAGGTTTCAGGTCCAAGTCAAGCATGAGGAGATACAAGCCGCCCCGGCAGCTCTCGGAGGCCCTGCCGCCAGTCTGTTTTCTGGCTGTACATTTCGCACCAAAACCCAGTGATCCTCAAGCTTGCTTTGCTTTAGTTTTGCATGCGCTGCAGCAAGTTGTGCAGATCTGTCCATGTCAGTGTTGACTCCAGATGTGAACCTTTAAGTATGAAATTCCAGGGAGAGCACATGGGTCCCCGCTGGATTCACTCCATGTGCGAGATGATAGGAGTGTAACAGGTTCAAAGAGGAGTGGGAGGGAGATGTGAGCCTCTCTGTCCCCGCATTGCTTTACCGGTTGTCTACTTCGTTAAGTCGTTCATTTGTACTTTTCACTCTAAAAAATAATCTTCCGTCTTCTTTCAGATATAAGTGCCTTTGTGATGCAGGCTGGGTTGGTATCAACTGTGAGGTAGACAAAAACGAATGTCTGTCTAACCCGTGCCAGAATGGAGGAACTTGCGACAATCTGGTGAATGGATACAGGTGTACTTGCAAGAAGGGTTTTAAAGGTAAAGAAGTACCTCTTGCTACAGTGGTCCTCTGTCTTCTTACCGCTGTGTGCATACTGCACAACTTAATTGTTTGTTTTCCCTTTTCTCATTCATTGATGTGGCAAACAAAATTTTTTTTTAAGATTTATTTATTTTATTGGAAAGTCAGATACACAGAGAGAAGAGACAAAGAGGAAGATCTCCTAGCCACGGGTTCACTCTGCAAGTGGTTTCAATGGCTGGAGCCGAGCTAATCCAGAGCCAGGAGCCTCTTCTGGGTCTCCCACACCGGTGCAGGGTCCCAAGGCTTTGGGCTGTCCTTGACTGTTTTCCCAGGCCACAAGCAGGGAGCTGGAAGGGAAGTGGGGCTGCCAGGACTAGAAGCGGCACCCATACGGGATCCCAGTGTGTGTTCCTACTTTCTAGGCTACCACACCAGTCCCCCACAATTAGGATTTGTACAACAGGTGGCGAATAAAAGCATTCATAGTTTCTCCCCTTAACCTAACAGGAAGTTGAAATATTCAAACAATAATGTTTAAGAAGGGCAGTTAAGCCTCTGCTTGTAAAGGTTGGAAAGTGTCCGATTGTAAATGTTTTGCCCTAGATGTCCTATCCATGATAGGTCACATAGATATGTACAGTGAAAGCTTTTGCTTACTGTAATTATGATAGCAAGAATCAGTGCGTTCAGTACCCTCTTTACACACCGAGATACTCTTAGATACCTGTGATCTTCTGGGGGGAAATATATGCCAGTGGGAAACGTGTAAGGAAAAAACCATCACCATTGCATTCTTAGCATCGACTTTCTTGAGGAAACTCATGAGGGAAAGGTACGGGCAGATAATTCTCATTTGTATTCATTTGTCCACGGATTCATTGATTTTCTTCTTCTGAGAAAATTGTGCCTCGCTATTTATACATCAGTGTCTATTACAGATTCAGTATTTGAATACTTGAAACTTTTCTGAAACTGTCATTTGTTTACTTAAAAAAAAAAGGTTTATTTATTTGAAAGAATTTTAGAGAGAAGGCAAAGAGGAGAAAGCAAGGTCTTCTGTCTGCTGATTCACTCCCCTAAATGACTACAGTGACTGGGGCTGGGCCAGGCTGAAGTCAGGAGCTAGGAGCTTCGTCTGGGTCCAACCGCTTGGACGATCCTCCACTGCTTTCCCAAGTGCACTGGCAGAGAGACATCAAAAGTGAAGCGATGAGGACTTGAACTGGCAACCGTATGGAACACCCAGGCTCCAGCCATGGCTTAACGTGTCTGCCACAATGCTTGCCCCAGTCATTAATTTTCTGTTAAATTGCTTTATGTTTATGAGGAAACTCGTAAGTTTAGAAGCACTTCTGTTTCATTATCTTGTTGGGATTTATCAATATGAAATGAAAAATCTGAATGTAAAGCCCAAAGTCGTATGGCCCTGGAATTGGGAGAGAACAGTCCTGTAACTCAAGTCTTCCTGGATAGGGGAGCCTTGTGAAAGAGTGGACACACATCAGAGGATTCGATTCATGTATTTGGAGACATTCTCCTTTTTTCTGACGAGAAATGTCGCACACAAAGGGCCTCTGTTTAGATGCAGCAACAGGCTTTTCCCCCTTAATGAGCTTGTCTGTTATTGGGACTGCTTATATTTGGGATGTGTGGGCTTTCAGACCGCTGGTCTTTCCATGCGTGGATCGATTGGCTGCTGCTGTTCACTGTGTCAGGGTCTTGTGGCTGAAACAAAGGAGCAAGAGTTGCAGGGAAGGAGTGAACGCAGCTCCATTTCAGGTGTCCTGTTTCCTTACTGCCGGGAGTGTTAGGTCGTCGGTGAGGCGAGCAGGAGACTGATGGCTTCACTCTGGATTTGGTTTTTCCCCTCTTCTGTCCCCAGGCCACAACTGCCAGGTGAATATTGATGAATGTGCTTCAAATCCATGCTTGAACCAAGGAACCTGCTTTGATGATATAAGTGGCTACACTTGTCAGTGTGTGCTGCCGTACACAGGTGAGTGCTTCAGGTGCCAGCAGGGCCCAGAGGCATCCCCTGGCCTGGTCTGGTCAGTGCTTGGGACTGAGTCTCAGCACCCACTCTGCAGGGAAGTGATGCTGCTCTGACAAGTCACTCCTTGGTTGTCCTTTCACTGACTAGACCTTGAATATTCCAAAAACACTAAGGCATCCTGAGGGACAGACGGCTTATGGGGAGACTCAGATTCCTTCTTAGTGCTTTAATATTCAAAATGTTTCTATTTTTATTACAAAGTCAGATATACAGAGAGGAGGAGAGACAGAGAGGAAGATCTTCCATGCAATTATTCACTCTCCAAGTGACCTCAACGGCCGGTACTGTGCCGATCTGAAGCCAGGATCCAGGAACCTCTTCTGGGTCTCCCACGCAGGTGCAGGGTCCCAAAGCTTTGGGCCGTCCTCGACTGCTTTCTCAGGCCACAGGCAGGGAGCTGGAAGGGAAGTGGAGCTGCTGGGATTAGAACCGGTGCCCATATGGGATCCCGGAACATTCAAGGCGAGGACTTTAGCCGCTAGGCCATGCTGCTGGGCCCTCAAAATGTTTCTCTTAGCATTTTATCTATGTCTGAAACTTCACATATAGCTGATAGTTCACTCGGTCATTTGAATGGATTCTGTGTTTTTGTTTTTGGCCTTTAAGTCTTAATGTCAGCAACACTGCCACCATGAATTGGTAATTTATGATGTGCCAGGTATTTTGTGTACCTTTCGTTAGTTATTCTAGTGCTCAGTAACTCTGTTATGTGAAAGTGTCCATCACTGTTTTGTATAGGAGGAAACTGAAACAAAGGGAACTTTAAATGGTAAGTGGTAGATGTCCTGCTTAGCCATCAGAGTCGCTGTGGGCTTTCTGGCCAAGTGGCAGGAGCTGGAGGCCATGCTGATGCCAGTCGGTGGAGGGGGGCAGCTGAGCTCCTGAGAAACCGAGTCCTAGCTATCGTGGTGCCGAAGTTAACACATTGAGTCATAGAGGTGTTCAGCCCGTGGAACCTTCGTGACAGTAACAGTGCAACATGTTACATGTTCATGACCGAAGCTTTGTACATAATGTTGTGCACATTTATTCATTTAATCTAAAAATCCTCAATTAGTAGCACACTATCAGAATTTTCTTTTTATTTATGAAGAGGGGCCAGAGAAGATAAACTCTATGCCTGAGGTCACACAGTGGTCACATTAAAGCCACGAGTTAGAGGACCACAGGTGTCTTATTCCAAAGCTTATCCGCTACTTTAGAATGAATTCTGAGAGCATCCTTGGAATACAGCTTGTGTACATCTTCATTTCATTGGCTAATTCTGTGTCATAAACTGTCATTTATTTTCCAGGCAAGAATTGTCAGACTGTCTTGGCTCCCTGTTCCCCAAATCCTTGTGAGAACGCTGCTGTCTGCAAAGAGTCACCAGACTTTGAGAGCTACACCTGTGTGTGTGCTCCTGGCTGGCAAGGTAACAGGATGGGGTGGGGAGCCAAGCTGGTGCCTGCTGGACTTGCAGCAGAGCAACCAGACAGCCCTGGTTCTCGTTGGGAACACAGGCTGTGCCCAGAAGCTGCCTGCACCAAGAATGGCCCAGAAGCTTTTTTATTGATCACATCTTTTGGGGCCCCCTAGTGGCTGAAAGACTGCAACCTGAGAGTCCCAAATACTGATGTTCTTTGTATAGGGAATTTTTTTTAGCACTTTGGCAGCAGAAGTTCCTGAGGGGACACAAAAGCTTTCCTGAGACCTCCTGAAGCAGCAAGCCAATTAGAATGTTCTTGGAGTAGCCTCACCCACCCCAGTTCAGCTCACAGCCCACATAAATCTGTGTATGGGAATGAGCTCTCCAAGCCTGGGTAGTTCACCGGCCCTGTTGTTTCTAGGTCAGCGATGCACAATTGATGTTGACGAGTGTGTCTCGAAGCCCTGCCTGAACCACGGGGTCTGCCACAACACTCAGGGCAGCTACATGTGCGAATGTCCCCCGGGCTTCAGCGGGATGGACTGTGAGGAGGACATCGACGACTGCCTTACCAGTGAGTAGCCAGCCAGCTGTTCTGCCCGGAGCTTGGTGGAGGCTGCTGCCTTGTTATGGCATATCTTCTACACTAGTGTTTTTAAGATGTTTGTTTAAAAGGCAGAAACACACACACCCCCTGCAGGAGAGTGGACTGATGGCCAGTTGGGTTTTTTCCCAGTTGGGGGGGTGTTACAAAGCTGCTGTGAATGAATCTGTGTGTGGATATGTATTTCTTTCTTTTTTCTTTATTTTTTAATAAATAGTTAGGACTGAAATGAATGAGTCACATGATAAATGTGTATGTAACTTTTAAGAAGTTGCCAAAATGTTTCCCAAGATGGCCATATGGTTTTCATTGCCACCAGAGCTAGGTGAATACTGTAGTTGAACTACATGCTCAGAAACACTTGGTAATTTTAGCTCTTCTGGTGGATGTGTGGTTGTGTTTCCTTGCAGTTTTAGTTTATGTTGTACTCTCTGCTGATGAGGTTAAGCATATTTGCATGCGTTCTTTTCCCGTCTGTGTGACGTCTTGGGTGAAATGAACTACTCAAACTGTTGAATATTCTACATGTGAATTCTTTGTCAGAAACTTGCTTTACAACTAATCTCCTCCCGAAGGATAGCCTCTTGTTTGAGCTCCTTTTGAAGAGAGTACTTTTAATATTTAATATTTAATATTTAATATTTTCCTTTTATGAGAACTCTCCAGGAATGTTCATGGAAATGAATATGACAAATGAGCTATTATGATTTTGGAATTGTTTTTGCAGCAAGATAAACTTGTCTTGTGATTCTGTTTTTCCACAAACTTTTAAACCCCGTTTATAGTCCTTGGTTTGTATGTCTTGTTTAACAAATCTTCACCTAACCGAAAGTTGTTGGGTGTGTCTCATGCTTACTTCTAGAACTTTTTTTTTAACTCTTAACTGTTGCCTTATTCTGATTCCAAGTTAATTTTTCCATGTAGGGTAGAAGTAAAGTCACAGCTAGTTCTTGTGGATGTGCTGAGCTCACTGTTTCAGGTCTCTAGGTGAGGTTTTTAAATAAGCTTGCTGGGACTTTTTCAAAGACAATCATCTATTATAGACAAATTTACCTCTTTTTTTTTTCCAAACAACTTTCTGTTTGTTTTTCTGGCATTAATGTATTGGCTAAGATTTATTTTAAATGAAGAAGTGGGGAGGCCAGCCATGCCTTAGAAAAGCATGTAGAAGTTCCCCGTGGAGCAGGTGAAACAGATTTTCCACAGGTGTCCTCCGTCACGTTGGTGTCTTGCTCTTGAGGTTTATTGAGCGCTTTTTTTTTTCTTTTTGTAAGAATGAAGGTTGATTTTTTTTTCCCCTAAATGATTCCTCTGTAGAGATGGTAGCATCAAATGTGTTTTAATCTGTTAGTCATATTGGTTGATTGTCAAATATCATGCTAATCTTAAGTTATCCTTTCGTTGTGGTGTAATATCCATTCTAGATACTGTGAATTTGATTTGCCAAATTCTTGTTAAGAACTTTTTCATCTCTGATTTTGAGAAGCATTGTTCCTCAGTATTCTTGAACTCAGTTTGTCTGGTTTTGTTAGGAGGCCAGTACTGGTCCTGGAACAGATCAAAAGTGTGTCCTGCTCTTTGGTTACTTGGATGAGTTATTGTGTAATTGGAATATATTTCTTCCAAACATCTAGACATGAAAACTGCTTCGTGGGAAAGATTTTCACTATCATTTTGATGTTTCTAGTATATGTAGTTCTAGACAGGTTATTTGATTTTGACTGAACTTCAGTAATATATCTACATTGTCAAATTTGTTGGCATAGAATCATATTATTCCCTTATTATATATTTAAAATTTCATTTATTTCTATGTTGTTTCAAAGGCAGAGAGAGAGAGCCCTTGAACCCCTTGGACCACTCCCCAGGTGCCTGCCACATCTAGGCTGTGCCCAGTAAAGCCAGGAATCAGAATTCCATTTAATTCTCCTGTGTGGGTGGCAGCACCCCAATGCTTAAGCTCTCAGCCAGTGCCTCGCAGCACGCTTCACCAGGACATGGGTTGGAGGCAGTGTAGTCAGGACTCCGTGCAGACACTCAGTATGGGATGCAGGCATCCCAGACAACAGCTTCCTCACTGTGCCCAAAGTCTTCACTCTTATGTCTGTGGTTCCCCCTCTTGCTTCCGATGTTGATATTTTATTTCCTCTACCTTTGAAGAATGTTTGTTTTTGCTGGATTTTTCAAGTATGCTGTACAAGTTATTAATTCAGATTGGTTAGTAATTTTATTCAGGTCTCCTATATCCTCCCTGATTGTCTATGTACCTACTCCACAGATCTCCCGTAGAGATGGAAACTTTAGAAAGTCATTGTATATTTGGCTGTTTCTCTTGAAGACTTTAGTAGTTTTTGTTTAGTATTGGTGTATTTTGAAGCTCTAATACCACGAATGTAAGCATCCGGGACTGTTGTATCCTCTTGAAGACTTGGCGTCTTTCTTTACTGTTAGAAAGCAGCCTGCTTTAACTTCATGTTCATGCTCTTCTTTAACTTCGTGTTCCTTACTCTGAAGTCTATTTGACCTGAAATCAATATAGCTACTCTGACTTCCTTTTGATCATTAGCAGGATGCATTTACTTTTTGTTTATCTTTTTACGTTTGGCCTGTCTACACAGACATGTTTGTAGTAGACACTATAACATTCTCTTTTAGTTGAAGTTTTTAAGATTGTGTTAATCTAATTCAGTTTTATAAAAGCTGGATTCCAGTTTGCCATCTTACTGTTTGTTTTGTCTATGTCATTTTCAGTTTCCCTTTTTCTTTATTTTGGAATAATTGAATATAAAAATGCTCAATAGAGTTTTATTTTAATCACTAGCATGGCAGCTGTATCTTCAGTGGTTGTTGTGGGGTTGAATATTAAAGTTTTACCCATAATCTGCCTTCAATTGTTTCCACTTCATTCAGAGTACAGCCTTATAATAATATTTTCTTATATATACTGCTCTAGTCTTGGCTCTACAGTCTTTATATTTATGCACATGCTTGTAATTCTTGCACATTATTTTGTTACTTTGCTTTTCCATCACGTAGCATTTTCTTTCTGTCTGAAGAAATTCCTTGGCATTTTGCATAATGCTTGTCTCCTGGTGGTAAATTCTTTGTGCTTTTGTCTGTCTGAAAAGATTTCCATGTTGCCTTAGTTTTCAAAGATATTTTCACAGGGAGTAGAGTTCTTCACTGGCTTGCAGCACTTTTATGTGGCAGTGTTGTCTTTTGGCTTCTGTTGTTTCTGAAAAGAAATGTGCTGTAATTCCTTCGTTTGTGTCTTCATATGTAATTTTCTTTTTTATGGCTGCTTGTGTTAAGATACTTTTACTTGCCCCAATTTTTAGCACCGTAATTATGATGCCTCTTGGTGTAGTGTTCTTGCTGTTTCTTCTGTTTTGGTTTCACTAGTAATTTTGGATTTGTGAGTCCAAATTTGGAAAGTAATCAACCGTTATCCGGAAAATGTTCAACAGCTTTTTCAAAATTTATTCCTGATTCACAATGTGCATTGTACATCTGTTGTTTGGAATTGTCCATCTGGTCACTGTGTGTGCGTGTGTGTGTGCGTGCTCAGTGTTTGATTTCAGATTATTTTATTAGTTGAAGGTATCTGCCTATATTTTCAGTTTCACAAGTTTTCTCTGTGGTGTACAGTTTGCAGTTAACTCCATCCAGTGTATCTTTTCCCTCAGACACTAGGTGCTGGGGTTGCGTGAATCTAAAACTAGAAAGAAAAGTTTGGATTAAGGTGGGGAAAAAAGAAAGGGAAAGAGGGTAAAAGGAGGGAAGAACTGGAGGATGATTTGCTTGTATAGTATGCCAGGAACAAAATAAATATATCCCTGTTGACATTGCTGATGTTCTGTGTATTGGGGTCTCATATTTGCTTTGCAGTGTGTGTTACCTTTGTAAATTTTGTGATTCTGTTAAATTATTATAGAATGTTAGTGGGAATGTAGGTGAAATTTATCCCAGTCATCTAACAGGATAAAGGTCTCAGGAAAGTTTTACTGAATGTGTTTTCATAAATGAGGGTGTCAGAACAACTAGACCTGAAGAAGTCAAACAGAGGAGTCAGCCTTGGGCTACCCCACTTGTTATGTCAGTTCACCATGTCATTCCTCTTTGTGAGTCCAAGATGAAAGCTGCTCTCCGCCAAGCTCTAATTCTTGCCTAATGGCTTAGATCCCTGCCAGAATGGAGGTTCCTGTATGGACAGAGTGAACACTTTCTCCTGCCTCTGCCTTCCGGGCTTCGTTGGGGAGAAGTGCCAAACCGACATGAATGAGTGTCTGAGTGAACCCTGTAAGAATGGAGGGACCTGCTCCGACTACGTCAACAGCTACACCTGCAAGTGTCCGGCGGGGTTTGATGGAGTCCACTGTGAGCACAACATTGACGAGTGCACTGAGAGGTGAGCAGCACTCGGGCATCAGGGCCTTAGCACCTCTGGGGGAGTGGTGAAAGAGGAGGGGGCTTCACTGAACAGTGCTGGAATTGTGAGACAGGGACGGGGCATCCACTTGGGGCTTAGTCCACCGTCCTCTCCCAGGGCCCAGTTCCTGGTTCCTGATGGACGTGAAGTTCCAAGGTCAGAGGTCAGAGCTTTAAAGTTTAGTGGGTGAATCATCATTTGTTTTCTTACTTAGGGAACAGGAAGAGCCATAAATCCATTCTGTTGTTCCTTTGGTCATTCCAGCTGATGATTAATCTGTAAGCCCCTGTTTGTTTACAGATTTATTGCTGCTCTAATTTATGGGAGGTGTGCCTCATCTCTTTGTACTGTACTCTTGGTGTTTTTATTCTATTTCTTTTTCATAAAAGAGCCTGTATTTAAAAGCTGATTATGTAGCACTTTTCATTTAAGTCAAGTTGGCTGAAATAATAGATATGTTGAAATTCACAGCAGGACTGGGAAAGCCGAGAAAACTTGGCTTTCTGTAGGAACTTGTAGTAAGTAAGCTCAGCCTGTTAAACACTCCTGAACTTTGATTGCAGAAAGGAAGTTGGCACTCGGCTCCTAGTAGCTGGGCTTGTGGGAGACTGTAAAATTTACTGGCTAGAGGAGTTTGGGATGCTGGGAAATGTTCACCTGTAACAGTTAGGATTTCAAGAACCCAGGTATGGGAACCACGTTCTTCGCTAGCAGTCAGAGGAACCAGATGACACGGTTGACGTTGCTCTCCCGGTTTGCTCCGTAGCTCCTGTTTCAATGGTGGCACGTGTGTTGATGGGATCAACTCCTTCTCCTGCCTCTGCCCGGTGGGTTTCACTGGTCCTTTCTGCCTCCATGAGATCAATGAGTGCAGCTCTAATCCATGCCTGAATGAGGGAACCTGTGTCGATGGCCTGGGCACCTATCGCTGCGTTTGCCCCCTGGGCTACACTGGCAAAAGCTGTCAGGTGAGTTGAGTAACTTCCTTTCTGTTCAGTTCACCAGGGAAGCCAAACATTCTGTCTGTCCCCTTGAGCAGAATAAATGCCTTCTAAAAGAAAGAGTGTGAATCTCGGGGTGTTCCTGAGATAAATGTTGGTAATTTCATAATTAGTGATCCCAAAATGCTAATGCTGGCTATACAATATGAATTTTTTTAAAAAACGTGTTCTAAGAGGCAAATCTAGAACAATGAAGTTTGTGTGTGAACAGATATCTTTTACATTGGAAACGCAGCAAAGGCGAGACCAACCAACATTTTTATAGGTCAGATGTTCCTCTGAGAGGATAGCAGGATATCAGCCATGACCACATCTTACATGTTGTAAGAACACCCTGAAAACTATTTGTGCATCTTTTAAATTGAAATTGATAAATACACATTTCGTAGAAGCTCAGCGGAAAGGAGCGCTCACAGACAAACCAGGCTAACCTTTCACTTCACTGCAGAAAGGCCAAGAAACTCTTCCAAGGATGCATGCCCCACACAGCTTTGGGCTGAACTTTATGACTGTCACCTCCTCAACAGTAGAGAATAACAGATCTTCAAAGAAACAGGAATAAGTAATAAATTTTAATGTGACCTACAGGGTCACATTAAATGGTAGGGCATTGGTTGCACCAGAGGTGCAGTCACCTGCATGGACTGTACAGCTTGTTGCTGACCCCGTGGCTCTGCGCGGCCTTCTCGCAGTGTGGGCTGGACATTCTAGAAGGACTGTCTTCTCCCACTGGTGTCTAGTGAATGTGGCCTTCCTTTCCCGGAGAACCGGCCCATCCCTTGTGAATAAAGGCAGTGGAGCTAGCAGTCCTTTTGTGTTCTGCCTCATATTGCTCATGAGCTTGGTTTTGTCCCCTTCTAAAAAGCTCTCTGAAGTTTTTCATTTTATTCACAGGCTTTTAACCCTTTCTCTCCTGTTCACCATTGATAGATTGTGTCAGGATTCCTGGGATTTCCGCCCCAGGATAAGTGCAGGGAGTGTTGGCCTGTGTGACCAGTAGTTTTAACCTTCTCTCTAGTCCTGTGGGTAACCATGTCTGCAACATGGGAAATATGTGATCATGTCTGCGGCATTGGAAATGCCCCATTGGGCTTCTGCAAAGTCAGACTGCTACATCAAGAACTAATTTTTCTTTAAAGATTTATTTATCTTTATTGGAAAGGTAGATATACAGAGAGGAGGAGAGACAGAGAGGAAGATCTTCCACCCGATGATTCACTCCCCAAGTGACCGCAATGGCTGGAGCTGAACCAATCCGAAGCCAGGATCCAGGAGCTCTTCTGGGTCTCCCATGTGGGTGCAGAGTCCCAAGGTTTTGGGCTGTCCTTGACTGCTTTCCCAGGCCACAGGCAGGGAGCTGGATGGGAAGCAGGGCCTCTGGGATTAGAACTGGGGCCCATATAGGATCTCGGTGCTTGCAAAGCGAGGACTTTAACCACTACACTGTCACTCCGGGCCCAAGACCTTTTAAATATCAGTGCTAAGAGGAAGTAGATTATATAAAAATGATGACATGCACCTCGTAACACCGGATTTAGTTTAAGGCCTGAATGAAGGTTCTGTTTAAAAAGAAGAAATCCTGTGCTTCCCTTCACCTTTTTGTTGTGGAGTGCGGATGACTCCCTTGGTGCCTGGCCCTTGGGTTTTAACGTGTGTATGTCCTTGCCTGTTTCAGACCCTCGTGAACCTGTGCAGCCGGTCCCCATGTAAAAACGGGGGAACTTGTGTGCAGGACAAAGCCGAGTCGCGGTGCCTGTGTCCATCTGGGTGGGCTGGCGCCTACTGTGATGTGCCTAGTGTCTCCTGCGAAACAGCAGCCCTCCGCAGAGGTGAGTCCTGCCCTCACGGGCTCAGGGGTCATTGACCGAGATCTTGAGTGACTGACCAGTGGGGCACTCAACTGTGGGATGAGATGGAAAAGAACCTGTGGATGGCCAAAACTGCAGAGGAAGAATCCCAGACAGGAGGAGAAAGGGTAGAGGAACAGGCTTAGGGATGCCAAAGGGGAGATATTTGGAATGAAACTCAAGCGACCTTCTGCTCTTGGGGATTGTGTACTTTCACGAACGGGTCTGGTGCTGAGCGTTGCGAGGCGCTAGACACAAATGGCATGTGGTGTGCTGCCCAGCCTGCGCTCACAGCTTCCTGGTGGGACTAAACCTGACCCGTGCCATGTGTGCTTTCCTGATAACACTTCCACATGGGGTTTTCCAGGTGTGTCTGTTGCTCACTTGTGTCAGCACTCAGGCGTCTGCATAGATGCTGGAACCACACACCACTGCCAGTGTCCCTTTGGCTACACGGGGAGCTACTGTGAGGAGCAGCTCGATGAATGTGCATCTAATCCCTGCCAGCACGGTGCCACCTGCAGTGACTTCATCGGTGGATACGGATGTGAGGTGAGGGAGATGAGGCAGTGGAAGTGGATCCCTCCCAGGAGGTTGTGCGGCTGTTCTGTGCATTGGATTCAGCTATCTTTGGTTTCCAGTTTTTAGGTTTTCATTATAGTGCTTACCATTTTCTTTTCTCTTTCATAGAGTTTTTCGTTTTTTAAGATTGATTTTTTTTTTTTAATTTGAAAGGCAGAGTTATACAGAAAGAAGGATCTTCCATCTGCTGGTTCACTCTTCAAGTGGCCACAATGACCAGAGCTGAACTGGCTTGAAGCTGGGAGCCAGAAGCTTTTTCTAGGTCTCCCATATGGTTTCAGAGTCTCAAGTACTTAAGCCAGTATTAGATGCTTTCCTAAGCCATTAGCAGAGAACTGGATTAACAATGGAGCATCTGGGACTCAAACTAGCTCTGTAGGTGATGGTTCAACCTACTAGGCCATGCTGCTGGCCCCTAGGCATTAATTTTGACCTTGCAGTTGAACAGTTCACATGGCCCCAGGAATGCATTGCAGTAAGGGTATGGAACCATTCCACTTCCATAGTCTGACTTCCAGAATTTAAAGCCAACAGTCAATTCCTTACATACATCTCACAGACCCACCCAGTCTGGTGGTTTCTGAAACGTCCCTGAATGGCAGCTGAGATAGGAGAAACCATTTTGAGGAATCTCTCTTAACATGTCACCTTTGTATAGTCAGTGGCCAACTGATTCTCTCAAGTGTAGCTCAGTCTGTGGCACATAGCAAGATGCTCCTTGTTCCATGTGTATCTTCACAGCACTCTACAACCCCAAAAGGCTCAAAAACCTGCCAGTGTCAGACTCAACAATTTTACACACATAATTGCTTAACGATAACCCAATCTCTTTAGAACTGTCTGTTTTGCATTTCCTGTGAGAATGTACCCAACATCTCCCAGGCATAGATAAAACAGCCCTGGGCCTGGAAAGAGAAGCCAAGTGGTGCTGTCTGTAGGAGCTCTCTGGCCCAGAGCCCCCGTTACTGGTCTGAATAACTGTGAAGACCTGTAAGTTCCCTTCTCCCGTGGTGTGCTGGCTCTCCTTCCCTTACCCTCCTCCCTTTGGATGCTCTCCGGCCGTGAGGGACTTGCCCTGCATACAGCCCTGTGAAAGGATTGCCCAAATAAAGTTACTTCATAAAGGTCTTATCTTTTTCCTTCATCTTCCCTGACATCTGTCACAATCAGTGAGATCTACCTCCCTCTGCCCCTGCCCCATCTCAGCTAACTTTTCACACATCTGTACAGTTTCCTGGACCTGGAGACCAGAAAGTGTGCACTGTCTGCTCCCGCCCACACATACCATTTGACTAAGTCATAGGGTCCTCATCACATTCAAAGAAACTGCAGACTTTAAAGACGGGCACATCCATCCAGGGGAGGGACAGATTTTCCAAAGGGGTCAGATCTGGAATAGCCCTTCACGAATTCAGCCTTTTGTTTCCCTTTAAGTGGCTTTGTCAGCAGGAAGAGGGAGAGATACCAGTAAGCTGTGGGTTGACCCGGTACAGGATGATGACAGAACGTGATGATCCTGGAGAGACATGAGTGCTGAGTGGGGAAGGAGCAGGGTCACAGCAGTGTCCACATGTCACTTGCTGTCATCATCTGTAAACATGTCTTGTCTTGACTTCCTCCTGACAGTGTGTACCGGGATATCAGGGTGTCAACTGTGAATACGAAGTGGACGAGTGCCAGAATCAGCCATGCCAGAATGGAGGCACCTGTATTGACCTTGTGAACCACTTCAAGTGCTCCTGCCCACCAGGCACTCGAGGTAAGAACCCAGTTTTGCCCTCCCTCCAGCCAGAATCTTCTGTAAGTTATAATCCCATTCTTAGTGTGGTGGAGATTTGTTTTTTTAAAAATTAAAAGACATTAAAACTAGCTTCATTGTAAGTATTGAGTTGTACATCCTGGTCACTCAGACCATTTTACTCTCTCGTCTCTTGTGACCTGTCAAGTTCTGATTCATGTTCTCAATTCTGTCTAATTGCATGACATCTCAGGTTCCATGAGACACAGAATGTGGAATTCGTAGAGCTCTGCAACTACATTGCCCTGTCTTCAAATGCTTGGTTATTCAATTGAAACCAACGAATGGTCACACAAGTGAAAAATTTGTGCTTACTTTCTTTGGAATCTTTTAAAGTAGGAAATCTTGCCTACATAAGTTGGAGGGATGAGTGAAATGAAAGCCTACCTTCCTGATAAGCCTAGGGGCAGAGGCTGATGATGGCTACAGCTGTGCCTAGGAGACCGCAGTCTGAGAGGAAGCCCTGTGCTATGACAGATAGAGCCATCATTCCTCTGCAGGTCGCCAGTGCCTCCAAAAAACCTCTTAGAAATAGAACCAAGTATTGTTCATTACGTTAGAATAAACTATGATGATGTGTATTCGGAATAAGCCCTGGAAGAACTGTGAAAAGCATTGCACAATTTTGGGAAGTTTATTCTCCTCAGTATCCATGCAAAAAAAAAAAAAAAAAACCAGTGTTTCTGTTGTCTTAGACCTTTGTGTCAGTGTATTGTGGGAGTTTGCCTTCCTGGAGGTTAGGATTTGGCTGAATTAAAGAAATAACTCACTGGGAAGGTAGCTTATTGAAGAATTTTCTTTAAAGGGAAGAGAAAACTAAGGAGAAACTGCTTTTAAGTATCTAAGTTTTTTCATGTGCAAAAGAAAATTGTTGTGTCTTCTAAAAATCAGTAGTTGAAAGAGAAATAGAAGATAATTCCAATTTAATTTTACTTTGCTCCCTTGAATTACTCTACTGGTTGGAACAAGCTTCATTCCCAGTGGTAGCTAGTTAACCCTGAAATCTCAGAGCTCAACACCACGCTGATGAAGTCTGATGCATGTTGAGCCGCCCTTCTCTGTGTTTTAGAGAAGTAGTTCCGACACTTGGCCTCCAAGACTCACACTCCAGGAGAAGACAGGCTTGTGGGGTTGTGCAGCAGCTCTGGCTGAGTGTGGAAGTGACACACCCATCACTGCTACTCACAGCGTGTAGGCCAAAGTTATTGAGTGATTTCCATTTTGTTTCCAGGGAGGTTGGGAAATGTACATAATCACTGAATTCGAAATTCTCAATTATACCCTAATTTAATAAATTATGTGTCTGGTCATTGAATCATTTAACAAGGAAACAAAGTTTCCATCTGTTCTAATCATGTGTTAAAGAGAGCCTAGAGTAATAATTACACCATTATTATGCAGTCATTGCCTTTCGGCACTTTATTAATACATGATTATGCTTTCCCACTTTCATGGATTTTAATAGGAAATCAGCTGTTAATCTTAGTAGAGCACTTCTGTGTGTGACAAATCACTCCTCTTGAGTTTTCAAATTTCTCTCTGTCTTTGGCAGTTTGATTAGATTGTGTGTAGGTATGAATCCCTTGAATTTGTACAACTTAGAATTCATGGAATTACTATATCATATGTCTGCTTAGATGTGGAATAATGTTTATTTATCTTGATCTAACCTCTCTGACCATAGTGGAGTTCCAGGAGACTGAAATCCCATATCCTCGGTGTGAAAGTCACCACGCTGTTTCCTGTTAATTCTCCCGAGCTTTGTTCCTGACATGAGTACCCTACCAGTTCCTCAGTTCGAGGATTCACTGCCATCACTCTGCCTGTCTCTCCTACATCGTTTCAGGCTGAGGGAGAGCTCCTTCTCACTTGAATAAATCTGTTCAATACCGGTGGCTACACTCTGATGAAAAGGCAGGCATTTATGCTGATTTTACTAATAGTCCATAAATATTAAATACTCTGTGAAACAGAGTACATGCCAATTTTATTTTTTGATTCTTCTTTTTTTTTTAATTGATTCCATTGCATTATGTGACACAGTTTTATAGGCACTGGGATTCCCCCCTCCCCAAGCCGCCCCCCATGGTGGATTCCTCCACCTTGTTGCATTACCACAGTTCAAATGCACGTGAGATTCTTTCATTGCAAGCATCTACCAGGTATAAACTCCAGCGTCTTATTGTCCAGATAAGTTCAATGGTTTCTTGGGGACACCATCTCTGGTCTGAAGGTAGAGCCGACAGAGTATCATCCTGATCAATTAAAAGCCCGGACAATACATCAGTAACAGTTTATAACATTATGGAATTAGTTGACATGGTATTGAATAACCAATATGTTGAAAGAGAGAGAAAAAAAAAAGAATGCAAGTTCTGAATCACATCCTGTGACTTCTTCATTGACATTTCAATTATTAGTTTATATACAACTGGTTTCTATACACCTTAAAATGGCTATAGATTACTATTCAGCTGTCTCATGTCTATTTTAATTTTAGTATTTAGCAGTTTATAGTGTTGAAGCATGATTTTTCTGAAGCTGGCTGTTTTTTGGGTATCTAACTCTATAACTCTAACAAGACATATGTCAACAGTTTAGGTGAACAGTTCTAGGAGGGTGTGCAGAGAAATCTTCAGTACCCTAGTGAGGAGTAACTAATCTTTGTGTCCCACCCAGTGAGTTATAAGTGCATCCCCACTGCCCGTTTCCTGTCTGTTTCTAAGCTTTCCTTGTTTTTCTCTATCTATTCTAGGGGTTTTTTGTTTGTTTGTTTGTTTTGAGGGGTTTCCGGAGCGATCCTGATGGTCATTACAAGAGAGGGTGGGGACCCAAAATTGGAACCAGGCAAGGAGCAGAGAAAGCTCCTCTCCCTAATTCCAAAGGAAGTTTACTGTTCTGTTTCTGCGGACCGCTCAGTGCTCCCGGTTGTCATTCCAATGACCTTGGATCCTGCAAGTCAGGATTTGGGCTTCTTCCATCCCATGTGGTAGATCCAAATGGGGGTGGGTGCCCTCAGAGTTCCTGGCCTCTGAAGACACTCCATTTCCCCGTGGTCTCCTTGGCGGTTGGGATGTAGTCCTTGATGCTTGTACTGATAGTCCTTGGTGAGGATCTGGGAGTCTTCAGGGTTATGAATTCCAGAGAGAAGAGAGAGAAAGATGGAGATCTTGCACCTGCTGGTTTACTCCCCAAATGGCTGCTATAGTTAGAGCTAGGCTGGTCCAACACTGAGAGCCAGGAGGTACCTCTGGATCTCCCATATGGTGCAGGAGCCATGACCTTGGGATGTCCTCCTCTGCTTTCCCAGGCTATTGGCAGGGAGTTGGATCATAAGTGGAGCACTTGGGGCATGAATTGTCACCTATATGGGATGTCAGCACCAAAAGCAGAAAAAATTAGCTTACTGTGCCACCACACTGGTCCCCAATTTTATTTGTTTTTGTTATTGTCTGTTTTTTTATTGTTACAATAGTATAATCTTTCATAATAAGTTGTAATTTCATCAGTCTGTTGTTTAAGTGTGCCCCAACATTGCTGGTAGAGACAATGTCAAACAGTCCAGCATCCCCATCCCGTTGTCTAAATATGTCCAACAGATTCACTGGGAGTTCATGTTTGATTTGGAAGTAGAAATGCATATTTCATTGTATCTTCACATCTGGATATTATAATCTCTATTACTCCATCACTGTACACTCCCTTAAATGAGAAACCATAAAACAAGGTCAACAACAGATAGAAAGTTCAAACAAAAACAAAAAGAAAAAAAAACAGCAAAATAGAGTTGAAAAAACACACCACTGAATGACCAATGCATATGTGACAAAAAAGAAAACACAAAGGCCTAATTTGCATGATAGTTTCCTTATATTAGAGAAAACATATGGGATTTGTCCTTTTGAGACTGCTTTTTTCACTGAGCATAATGGTCTCTGGTTGGGACCATCTAGTTGCAAATGGTGTAATTTCATTCTTTTTAGTGGCTGAGTAATATTCCATGGAGTAGATGTACCACAGTTTCTTAAACCACTCCTCTTTGGTTGGGCGTCTGGATTGTTTCCATGTCTTTGCTATTGCAGATTGTCCTGCTGTAAATATAGGATTACAAATCCCTTTGTCATATGCAGTTTTCATTTCCTTTAGGTATATTTCCAGGAGTGGGATAACTGGGTCATATGGCAGGTTTATTTGCAATTCTCTAAGCCCTCTTGTTTTCAATTTTGTTTATGACTAGGTAATAAAATAAAATTCCACATGGACTGAACATATATACATACCTATATATATAAAACATCTAACTTTTTACCCTCCCTTTTTTTCTCTCCCCATGTTTAGCTCTTCTTCTGTGACTAGGTAGCCATCACAGTTTCTTATGTATCATTCTAGAGTTACTTTTAATATATTCTTCAGACTTACAGACAAATGCAAAAATAACTTCTATGTCTCTACTTTTCCCATTGAACAATGAGTATTAGCCACATTGTTTACACTTGAGTTTTGAAAATATTTCCACATCAAGATACAAAACTTCTTCGATTTTTTTTAAAGTTGCATGAATCAGTTTTATGAGAATTACTATTTTATAGTAAGATATCTGCTAATGGTAGACGTCTGGATTGCCTTGTAAGCACATACTACAAACATATTTATAGTGTGACTTTCCAGGCAAAGCGGCTGAGTTGGATATGTATGTGTCAGTTATTAAAGATCATCTTCTTCAAGTTTCTCTGTTTATGGTCATAGCTCATTTTTTCTTAAGTATTCAGTTGGTGGGTTTTTTTTTTAATTGTAATGGGGTTGCATTATTTAGAGAGCCCCGACATTTTGCAATGATGCGTCTTCCTTCCTGGTCAGGGTCTGTCTTTCTAAACGTTCAGACTTTTGTATGCATTGTCTTCATGTTGGTTAGCCCATTTCTTATTAAGATTGCCATAGGTATTTTATCTTTTGGAATTGTCAGTGAAAGCAAACATTTCAGTTTCTTTGTTTTCATTTTTAATAGCTTTTTATCAGCATAGACTACAGGTGCAAATGGCAGAATTACAGAACTGTTTGATAATGTCTTGAATTAGTCAACAGTTATTTTCTAAAATAATTGTCCATCACTGTTGTTTCTAAAACATGTACAAATGAAAAATTACACAATAGAAAGAATGTTCACAGATATTCATGCTTGAAGACTCACTATGTACACTACAGATGTAGTAATTATTTAATAACTCTCAGCAGAATTTTTCAAATAAAAACTGTTGATAGATTTACATTGTTTTACAAAGTCAGTGACTGAAATGATTATAACTGTTACTTAAAATTCAACTTTGGTTCTCTCTTTTCTCTCTCTCTCTCTCTCTCTTTTTTTTTAAGATTTATTTATTTTGGGCCCAGCATGGTAACCTAATGGCTAAAGTCTTTGCTTTTTATGCTCCAGGATCCCATATGGGTGCTGGTTCATGACCCAGCTGCTTCAATCCAGGTGCCTTCTTGTGTCCTAGGAAAGCAGTAGAGGATGGCTCAAAGCCTTGGGACCCAGCACCTGCATGTAAGACCACAAAGAAGCTCCCGGCTTCTAACTTCACATCAGTTCAACTCTGTGGCAGCCACTTGGGGAGTGAACCAACAGATGGAAGATCTTTCTCTCTGTCTCTCCTTCTCTTTGTAGATATTTCTAATTAAAAAAATCTTTAAAAATTTTTATTTATTTTTATTGGAAGGATAGATTTTTACAGAGGGAGAAAGGGGGAGAGAGAGAAAATAATCTTATTTCGTCTGCTGGTTTATTCCCCAAATGACCTCAATGGCTGGAGCTGAACTAATCTGAAGCCACGAACCAGGACCTTTTCCAAATCTCCAACATTGGTGCAGAATTCCAAGGCTTTTGGGCCTTCTTTCGCTGTCCAGGCCATAAGCAGGCACCTGGATGGGAATGAGATGGCACCCATATGGGAAGTTGGCATTTTCAGGTAGAAGATAAGCCTAATATACCACTGTACCAGCCCTGTCAACTCTGGTTCTTAACAGATGTTTTAATATAGCTAGCTTCCATCTGTATGTTTATTAATTGCTGTTCTTCTTTTGAACTGTTTCATATTTTGAACTAAAATGGTAAGTTAATAAATTCCTGGGTGTCTCTTGAGCTCCAGTTCTCTTCTGTTAAGATGGGACAGATTGGTGGTGCCCCCTTCCCAAGGGCTGCTGCATTGGGTTTTGTGGGCATGTGGGTGGAGCCCTGGTACACTCTTCACTTTGCACTCAAAGGAGCATACCAGCTGTCAGGGGCAGGTGCCACCACAGGTGGAGTGTGGATTTCACTGCAAAAGGCCGACAAAGGTTGCTATCCCTTACTAAAAAACAGTGCTGGGAGGGCTTTCATAGCTCTGTGTTTCTCTTCTCTCCCCCCACCAGGCCTGCTTTGCGAAGAGAACATTGATGACTGTGCTGGGGGACCCCACTGCTTTAATGGTGGTCAGTGTGTGGATCGGATTGGGGGCTACAGCTGTCGCTGCTTGCCCGGCTTTGCTGGGGAGCGATGTGAGGGGGACATCAATGAGTGTCTCTCCAGCCCCTGCAGCTCTGAGGGCAGCCTGGACTGCATCCAGCTCACCAACAACTACCTGTGTGTCTGCCGCAGCGCTTTCACCGGTGAGAACCTCTCAGCCTTCCGGCCACTCCACCCAGAATGTGCATTTGTGACCCATCCTTTGTGGCCCATCCTGGACCCAAACAGAAGCTTCTCTCCTGTACAGAGCACTAAACTAACTTGATTTGGGGGCCCAGGTTTTCTACCATGTGTTGTGCTCTGTGGATGCTACATCAATCTCCACCTTTGTTTTGCCTGAGATATACTTTCTGTTTTGTAGCACATTGATAATGTGGTATAGCAGTGTACTAAAAAGTAGATAGCTGCGGAAACATTTTCTGTTTGTAGTGAAATACACAAGACAAAATTGCCATCTTTAAACAAGGTTCAGAGAGCATTAAATACATTTATGTTATAGGGCTACCATCACCACCTCCATCCACAGAACTCTTTCCTTACGAGCAAAGTAGCAGTTGTTTTGCAGGAACCTCATGTCTAGTGCTGGGTTCCTCCCCCTGCTTCCTTTGCGCTGTAACAACCGAAGGCCTGGTAGCTCCTGGCACTGGGAAGAAGGTGGTCCTTCTACTCCTGGGCCCCAGAGAAGTGCTGGGACATGCAAGGGAGGCAGGTCCAACTTAAGTGTTTATGGAATGTCAGTTGTCAGAGTTTGAACTCGAGTGCTGCAGGAGTCACCAGTGTGCCCTGCCCACTGAGCCTGAGTTCCCTTCTGTTCTGTTCCTATTCAGTGTGTGGCGGGAACCATGTCCTGCCGCAGCACAGGGACTTCCCCATAGCACTTAGCAGTCCCTGCTGGAGAAAAGCAGCAGGTGGCTTCTTGCACTAAAATAATAGCTCGTGTCTAGCTGTGGCAGGATCATCACATACTCAGATTTCTTAGAATCTTTAGTTGTATTTCTTTTTAAAGATTCATTTTTAATTGAAAGAGTCAGAGAAGAGAGATACACAGACAAGAGGGGGGAATCTTCCTTTCATTGATTTACTCCCCAACTGGCTGCAATGGCCAGGGCTGAGCCAGGCTGAAGCCAGGAACCTGGAACTCCAGTGTTGGTGGCATGGATCCAGGCACTTGGACCATCATGGGCCACTTCCCTGGGTACCTTAATGGGAACCTGGCTCTTAGACGGGTTGTCTCACCCTCTGCTGCAGTGTTGTCCCCTCTAAGTGTACTTCTTACGCTGGGGCTGTCCTCAAGTTCCTTCAGAATCAAGACGATGGATACAATTGTCCATCTGTTACTAATGTAGCGAGTGGATCCTGCTGCATGCTGAGCCAGTCTCCAGTCTGCCTTCCTACCAGGTTGGGAGATCTGCCTTTAAAATCACTAGTATTTGTTTACAAAAAACAGGGGGTATTTTGCAATCTGATCACCTCCTGTAGAAACAGTTTATTGAATGACCAAATCCCCAATCTGTTGAGTTACTGAGGGACAGAGGCACATGGACAGTCTGCAGCCTCTTGTTGGCCCTGCATGCTCGAAAAGCTAGAGAAGCAGAGCTGGCTCCTGTCTCATCATCTCTGAGAGACCCTGTATTTGGAAAGACAGACCAGTATTTGCAGAGGAAGGGAGCAGCAGAAGGAAGGGGTGGAGCCCCTCCTCTCCTTAAATTAGTGCTGCTTGTGTTAGTTCCACAGGACCTTGGGGACTACCATGACTGTGAGATGTTCTCCCTGATGGGCAGGAAGGTCCCCAGGGCATGTGTTCTGTGATACCGGCTATGGGTTAGTAGCTGTGGCTGAATTGAGCAGGTAGACATTGAAAATTTTGCTTCTTTGTTGTGAATGATCCAAAACACCATCTGTACCTTTGGTTCTTTTCTGTTTTAAGTGACCAGAGGCTATATGGGGTCTGTTTCCTGTATGCAGAGGTGCCAGTGGAACCTCACGTCTTCATGATCCCAGTTGTCCAACACATGTTAGCCGTGCCTCCAAGGCATCTGTTTTAGAACTGTCTCTAGAGAAAAGTGACTCTGGGAGAACTGCAGAATTCAGCTGCATTTTCTAGAGACCAAAGAGCAGAAGAGAAGATACACCACAGATCAAAACTCCCTATAAACTACAACTTGCTACCCAAACAGGTTGTGACCACTCCTGTGATGTAAATGCTATTAGTGGAGTGTGGGGCATTAGTTGTTAACCCTTTTCTTCCAACCTGTGAAAGCCAAAGTGCTTCCAAAAACGCCGACTTTTTGTTGTTATTGTTGGTTCCTTAACACAGTTAGTCGCTTCTTGGACCCTTTGTGTTTTGTCCTTTGGTTCAGGGGTGTGTGCCTCGTGTGTTGTCTGTGTAGGCAGCGAAGGTGACGGTGCTGGTGGGAGCCTGTGATGGGCAAGGGCGTGGAGGCCTAGAGTGTGTCGTCTTCGTCCTCTCCCATTCCCACAGGCTTACAGCCGAACTCTCACAGTCCTGCCTCTGTTGGGGTCTCACTCTCCTCCAGTGGGGTTCTGGTCAGGGATCTACAGTTACTACTTCTGCCATTTAAAACCCCATCTTGTTCTTTGTCCCGAGGCCGTCACTGTGAAACCTTTGTGGATGTGTGTCCCCAAATGCCTTGCCTGAATGGCGGCACTTGTGCTGTGGCCAGCAACACTCCTGATGGCTTCATTTGTCGCTGCCCCCCGGTGAGTTGTCTGCCCGTCTGTGGAACGAGCACACCCTCTCCTGTACAGCCTGTCGCAGAACTGAGGTGAAGCCTCTGAGAACCTGAGATGCAGGCTCCCCATCATGGAGATCTCCACACTTCACCTCTTCAGTTCCAGATTGGTTTTGCTTTTACTGTTTCATTTAAGGTGGTGTTTAGTTACTCCCAGAGGGAAGGCACTTCTTCCTCTGTGACTGTCAGCCCCACAAGCACCAGTGGGAAGCACAGCAGGTGGGCTCTTGACCCTCGGCTAGGCCAGAGCTGGTAGAAGTGCTTTTCTGTTTCCTTAGCAGGAACCACTGGGGGCAACTTGCTTCTTAAGCTAAAAGGAAGCTAATTTTAGCTGTCTACCTTGGAAACCCTTGCCACTGTCAGTCATCAGAGACAGCCGTGTGTGGGGATAGACCAAAAAGAAACCCATCTAGTAAGCCTGACATGGGCCGGGCAGCAACTGCAAAGATGATGCAAGATGTGGCCGTTTTCCAGGGCCGTCAGACCCCCGCTATGACCACTTTGCCCCAGAGTCATCATATGAGAGGTCTAATCATGGCAGTTAGGGAAGGTGCCTGAAGAACCTCTGCCCCTACATGACCTGCACACTTGCTTTCTGGCATTGAGCTCTTCCAGTGAGGCCGCTGTGCATTTGTCCCGTTGGAGCCTTCACCTCGGACTCAAAGGTAGACTTGAAAAGGTCTTTATGCAGAGTTATTCCGGGGTGCTGCATTGAGGGATTTTTAACCAAACTCCTAGTCTTTATGCTTCCAAAGACATTAAAAAAAAAGAAGAGTTGAGGAGGGAAAATGGAACAAACCCTGGGAGCTCTCCCAACATCTTTGTTTTTGGGTTGTTTTGTTTGTTTTGTTTTGTTAGATTTATTGGTTAATTTGAAAAGCTGAGTTACAGAGAGTCGGGGTAGGGAATAGAGAAGGAGGGAAAGATCTTCTATCCATGGGGTCTCTGCCCAAGTACGTACAACAGTCTTTTCTAAGCTGGTCTCAAACCAGGAGCCAGGAGCTTCTTCCGGGCCTCCCATGAGGATACAGGAACCCCTGCCCTTGGACCATCCTCTGCTGCTTTCCTAGGTCATCAGCAGGGAGCTGAATCAAAAATAGAGCAACCAGGATTTGAACTGGCGCCCATCTGGGATGCTGGCACCACAAGCAGTATCTTTACCCACTTCATCACAGCACCAGCCTTCTAACAGCCTGACTTCATCACTCATTTCCACAGGGATTCTCTGGGGCAAGATGCCAGAGCAGCTGTGGCCAAGTGAAGTGTCGCAGAGGGGAGCAGTGCGTGCACACAGCTTCGGGACCACGCTGCTTCTGCCCCAACCCCCAGGACTGTGATTCAGGCTGTGCCAGTAACCCCTGCCAGCACGGGGGCAGCTGCTACTCTCAACGGCAGCCTCCTTATTACTCCTGCCGCTGTGCTCCTCCGTTCTGGGGCAGCCACTGTGAACTCTACACGGCCCCCACCAGCAGCCCTCCTGCCACTTGTTTGAGCCAGTATTGCGCCGACAAAGCTCGAGATGGAGTCTGTGATGAGGCCTGCAACAGCCATGCCTGCCAGTGGGATGGTGGTGACTGTTCCCTCACCATGGAGGACCCCTGGGCCAACTGCTCCTCCCCGCTCCCCTGCTGGGATTACATTAACAACCAGTGTGATGAGCTATGCAACACAGCCGAGTGCCTCTTTGACAACTTTGAATGCCAAGGGAACAGCAAGACGTGCAAGTAAGGGCTCCAGGTTCTCCGGCAGCTGAGGGGGACTGTCACTAACACACCTCGGTCTCTTGTGCCTGCTCCTAACCACTCCAGTGCTTCCGCCCAAGTGGCCTCCGCTTCCCAGATGGTGCCAGCCTGTGCCGTCACACGCTGTCCTGTGCTCTCCCTTGCTGACAGAGGGCCTGGAGTGCTCACTGCATAATGACCCTCTCTCTGTGCCTGTCTCTGCCTTCTCACCTGCCGCTCTCGTGGCCTCCTGGGGAGATCACTTTTGGAAGTGGTATTGCCAGTCTCAGGCAGCCTCTTGGGTGACCTGCCCGCAGGATGGATGGAAAGGTCTGTACCCGTTCTCTTCACCCCATTCTTTCCCACACGACAGGTTTTTTCCCCAGCTAGATTTATCAGGAGGTATGAGTTGATTAGTCCTCTTAACCCTCTGGCCTTCATGATTACAGTTACAGGTTCTTTTTGGTGTATGTAGTAAGTTTTCCTGTTAACTGTCCCATCCAATTTAACTGCAGTTAATTCTTACCAACCTTGTGAGTCATCAGTATTGCTGGTTGTTTCCTTGGTAAGGGAATTGTGGCCCACAGGATTAAAGAAACACAGGTAGTGTGAACTGGGTTGGCTTTTGTTTCAGATAATATGGCTTTGCTTAAAAACATAACCAAAGCTATGAGTTTGAGGAGATAGGTGGGTTTGTCCTCACTTGACTATCATGCAGTCTGTACATGGGTATCCAAAATATATGTAATTTTTGCATATCAACTAAAAATGTAAAGAATGTTGAGAAATCTGATTAAGAGTGTCCGTCATCTGGGAACCCAGGGCGCCTGCAGCATGGTGAGCACATAGTGTTGCTCACCGTTCAGGGAGCACTGGCTCCTGTGAAGTGGGAACAACCCTGGGTGCTCCGTGAGGTCAGAGTTAGAGCAGCCAGAGCAGGCTCGCAGGGTACTTGGGTCCCAGTGCTGACAGAAGGCTGCCAGGAGGAACCCAGTCCCCAAGCAGAAGCAGGCAGAGCTCCAGTGCAGTGTGAGCCTCTATGCCAGTTCCCTCCTCTTCCCCGCCTCCCCTCCCAGGTATGACAAATACTGCGCGGACCACTTCAAAGACAACCACTGTGACCAGGGCTGCAACAGCGAGGAGTGCGGCTGGGACGGGCTGGACTGTGCTGCTGACCGACCCGAGAACCTGGCGGAGGGCATGTTGGTCATCGTGGTGCTGATGCCCCCAGAACAGCTGCTTCAGGACTCTCGCAGCTTCTTGCGAGCCCTGGGCACCCTGCTGCGCACCAACCTGCGCATCAAGCAGGACTCCCAAGGAAACATGATGGTGTACCCTTACTATGGCGAGAAGTCTGCAGCCCTGAAGAAGCAGAGGATGGCACGGAGATCCCTTCCCGAAGAACAGGAGCAGGAAGTGGTTGGGTAGGTTTTGGGTTTCTCCACTCGGGGAGGGTTAATTTTGTAAAACAGAGCCCTTTGATACACAGCAGAGATCATAGCTTGACCTGTTAGAGAGGGCTGTCTCCTCAAGTACCGCAAGCCCTGAGCTGCTCCCGGAGCCCCTCGGATCCCTCTCTGCGTGGCCGCTCCTTGGTATCGGTCTTTGCCTTGAGTGTTAGGCCTTTTCACAGCCCCACTGTTGGCGTCTCAGATTTTCAGCCCTCCAGTTGGCCGAGACACAATGTAGAGAATAAGGACCAAGGAACGCAGGGTGAGTTTTAGAGTAGCCGTTGTACCTGCTGGGGAGGTAGAAGTGGTAGTGAGGCCTTCAGGACTGTCTTCCTATTCTGTCATGGCATTGATCTTTGCTGGACCGTACCAAAGGAGGGGACACATTCCCTACGTGTTTGTGATGCAGTTTCTGAGGTCTTCCTGCAGGCAGCAGCCCAGAGGCAGGGAGCCGGTGCTGACAGGGACCAGGGAAGGCTGTGTCGGGCTTCCTAACTCAGCCTGCTGCACCTGCACCCTTCAGTTCTACTCACCATATCCCTTCTTCCTCTTTTCTCTCGGCGTCTCATAGCTCCAGGGTCTTTCTGGAAATCGACAACCGCCAGTGTGTTCAAGACTCAGACCAGTGCTTCAAGAACACAGATGCAGCAGCAGCTCTGCTGGCTTCTCACGCCATCCAGGGGACCCTCTCATACCCGCTCGTGTCTGTCGTCAGTAAGTGGCACCAGGGTGAAGGGGAAGGCATTGGAGGTGGGCTCTCCTGGGGGCACGCTTTTCAATGTTTCATGGCTGGTGAAGTCCAAGATGCCCTCTCTCTGTTGGGTGCGACGACGAGGTGTTGCTGTCTGCTACAGCGCTGTTCCTCCTGTCCCTGCCCTTCCAGGTGAATCTCTGACTCCGAAGGGCACGCAGATGCTCTATCTGCTCGCCATCGCTGTGGTCATCATCCTGTTCATCATCCTGCTGGGCGTCATCATGGCAAAGCGCAAGCGGAAGCACGGCTCTCTCTGGCTGCCCGAAGGCTTCACCCTACGCCGAGACACCAGCAACCACAAGCGTCGCGAGCCTGTGGGACAGGATGCGGTGGGGCTGAAGTAAGGCCATTTGCCAAGTAGCCATTTTCTGTTAAGTGCATAGGGATGGAGAGAAAAGCATTTCTGGTTAAATTAGGATTTTAAATTCTAAGCTGTATCTGTTTGATCACCCTGGCCGACATGCTGAACTCCTCATGAGTGACTATGACCGAGTCCACATCTGAGGGTGTTAGCCTGTGCCTGTCGTGATACCCTGGTGCCTAGCTGCTGCTGCTGCTTTTTGGTTAAGATTTATTTTATTTTATTCATTTATTTCTTTTTTTATCAGAAAAGGAGATATACAGAAAGAGATGTTTTGTCCACTGGTTCACTCCCAAATGGCCGTAACAGCCAGAGATGAACCAATCTAAAGCTAGCAGGCAGGAGCTTTTTCTGTGTTTCCCACATGGGGATAGGGGCCCAAGGCATTAGCCCATCTTCCACTACTTTCCCAAGCCACAGGCATGGAGCTGGATGGGAAGTGGAACAGCCAGGATACTAACCAGTGCCCATATGGGATCCTGGTGGACACAAGGTGAGGATTTAGCTATTAGGCTATCGTGCCAGGCCCCGTGCTCAGCTTACATATTGAGGCACACTGGTGTGTTAAGCTCTTGCTCAGTGGAAAGGGAGAGGGGGAATGCTCAGGATGTGTCATGTGGAATGTCACCCTTCCTAAGGCATGGTCTCTAGAAGTCAGTGTAACCAGGAGAGTGTCTTGACAGAAAAGGTGTTAGAAGTCACCTGTGTGGGTTTAGGGTGTAACCTCTGCTCTTGTATTTTCCTTTTTATAAAATCATATCAGGAATCTCTCAGTACAAGTCTCAGAGTCCAATCTAATTGTTTCTGGAACAAGTGGCCACTGGGTCGATGATGAAGGACCCCAGCCAAAGAAGGCCAAGGTAAGCCAGCAGTAGCAGAGCCACCACAGCCGGCCCTCACAGTTCAGATGGCTTTGCTTTGGCTCCAGGGTGTCCTGGCAGCAGGCAAAGGCTGATAGACTTCGTGTGTTGCTCAGAAAATGGCCCTGCCAGGTTCTTACAACAGCAGCGATGCGGAGTTATTTATTCCTTGGGGATTGTTAGCCACGGCCCCTCCTCAGGTGTCAGGCTGATATGTTGGGTATGTAATAGCAGTTTCTTTAACATTGACCTTTCTGGGCACTCCTGTAAGAGAAGATGGAATTCAACAATGGCAGAAAGCTGGTGTCCATGGGGTTTGGAGGCTCTGCACGTTGAGGCTGATGTAAAGACACAACTCTCCAGTGATAGTTCTCAATGTGTCTTTATTGTAATCAAAACTGGATCAAGTTCGGAACTTTGCTACTTGGTACCCAGCAAGCCACTGAACCTTTTTATATTTACTTAGCCTTGTCTGTAAAATGCAAATGCCAATATATCCATGTTCCCTGAGTTGTGAGGATTAAATCTATCAAGTGGTATAATGTGTTTTATCTATTTCCTGTCATGTACTAAGCACTCAGTGAAGGTAACTGCTTTTAAGTGGTCCTAATTATGATTATTCAACAAACTTTCCTGCTCTGCACCAGGTACTGCAGTAATTATAGGGAAGCAGCTTTAAACAAGATCTATTAAGGATCTTCTCAAGATCCTCAAAGTCTCATGGTATAAACTGGGTCTGAGAATTAGAAGAAACCATTGCACATTGCAGGCAGAAGGAGCAACATGGGCAGAGGCCCGGGAGAAGAAGATAGAACTTTTGGAGTCTATAGGTGGTTTATTAAAGCTAACCCTCACGGTCTACCATGGGGACATGGGAAGAATTGTCCTGAAAATACATGAGAGGTGAATAGGAATTACATCTTGAGGAGCCGTGTAAAGCCAAGGTGCATCGCTGTCTGGCGGGTGAGGGTCAGAAGAGAGTGAACTGGGTGGCTGGTGACTCAGAAGATGCGGTGGGGTGAGGGGTCAGCTCCTGTCAGCATCATGCGAAGGCTGTTTTCCTTTCAGGCTGAAGACGAGGCTCTGCTCTCAGAGGAGGATGATCCCATTGATCGGCGCCCGTGGACACAACAGCACCTTGAAGCTGCAGACATCCGTCGGACACCATCACTGGCCCTCACTCCTCCTCAGGCAGAGCAGGAGGTGGACGTGTTGGACGTGAACGTCCGGGGCCCAGGTCAGCATCCCCTCATAGCCAGTGGCTGCTTGTCCCTAGGCGTGCCCTGTCTGGTAGTAGTACACCCCGTCCTGGCTTCACGTGCTCCAGACCAGCCGAGGAAATGGCTGCTTCAAGAACGCAGGCGTGCTGATGTCGTCACCTCAGCAGGAAAGCAAGGAGTGCATCCTTTGTCAGATAAAGAAAACGGGCCGATTAAGTGGGCTGCCTCTTACAAGGGTAAAGGTTCATGCAAAGTGGAGCACCAAATCATGGCATTTTAGTCAACGATGTACCGCCTAAAGGGTGGTAATCCCGTAGAATTATAAAACCTGAAATTCCAGCCACCCTGCGGTCCTCGTAGTTTGTTTCTGTGCACCTGTGCTGCTCCCACACAGTGAAGTCGGGATAGATCACTGCCCCGCAGGGAGGTGTGCCTGCAGCTAGATGATACACCAGGAGTGTGTAAAGGTACTTCATGAAACCAAAACTGTAATTAAAACATTATCTCTGTGCAACAAATTTTTAAAATTCATGTACTGTTTTCCCCTAATGCACATTTCAGTGAGCTTTTTGAAAATTGTTTAAGGGTATGGATTTCAAAAAATTTGGGAGCAAAACAAGCATAATTTTCACTTCCGTTTCTTTCCACACAGTTTTTGAAGTACCCTTTTAGTTCTTAAATTTGGGTACACGTTATTCATTAAGTGTCCAATTTAAAATAACATATCCCTTAAAGTTTACCTGAGACAAGAGCACCCCACTTAATAAGAGTCTTCAATCCCATCACTACTCTTTACAGAAATGATATTGTAGGAAGAAGCCAAAGGAAAGCTCACTGAAGCCCAAGAAATTCTTTCCCCAAGAATAATTTTATCCAAATAGAAGTAGTCCAACACTATGCTTAAACCCGTTCTCAGTCAGTGTTTATTGGTATTTTGCTTTCCCACAGATGGGTGCACCCCACTGATGCTGGCCTCTCTCCGAGGAGGCAGCTCCGACGTCAGTGATGAAGATGAAGATGCTGAGGACTCTTCTGCCAACATCATCACCGACTTGGTCTTCCAGGGTGCCAGCCTGCAGGCCCAGACCGACAGGACGGGCGAGATGGCCCTGCACCTTGCAGCCCGCTACTCAAGGGCTGATGCTGCCAAGCGGCTCCTGGATGCAGGCGCAGATGCCAACGCACAGGACAACATGGGCCGCTGCCCTCTGCATGCAGCAGTAGCAGCTGACGCCCAAGGAGTCTTTCAGGTAAAGACCCTGAGGAGAGGTGATCTGAATAGGAAGAGTTCCTTAGGGGTCTGTGGAATTTTGGTTTCGGTATAGTACTTAGTGTGTCTTTGAATTCCTGCAGTGATGCTTTGAGCGATGGGAGCAAGTGTTCCAGCCAAACCTGTAAGATAAGAAAGCAGGGACAAGAGAAGCAGGCAGCTGACCCAGCTGTGTAGTGAGTGGCAGTGGTAGAGCCAGCTGGACAGATGATATTCTCATGTACCAGGGTGCTTCGGTACTTAGTGGGGAGTGGTTCGCTCCGAAGCCTTGCGCTCTTAGCTGCTCCCTGCGTGTCTGCGTCAGTGTGCAGAGGTCCAGCTGCTCACCTGCGGTTTGTGTGACATGAGTTGACAGACTCCTTTGTGAGCTTCAGTGTTCACCCTTACGAGGAAACTAGAAGCATTCTGAATAATCTGTAATTAGAACTGTGATATATTCCCATTTTATTATTTTTTTCCTTAGAAACTAGAAATACAGGGGCCAGCGTTCTGGCACAGTGGATTAAGCTGCTGCCCACAATGCCAGTATTCTATATGAATGTTTGAACACAGGTTCAAATACTGGCCACTCTGCTCCCTATCCAGCTGCCTGCTAATGCACCTGGGAAGGCAGCAGAAGGCGGCCTGAAGGCTTGGGCCCCTGCACCCATGTGAAAGTCCTAGGTAGAATTCCAGGTGGTTGTCGTCAGCCTGGCCCAGCCCATCATTGTGGGCATTTGGAGAGCGAACCAACAGATGAAAATCTCTCTGTCCCTGCCTCTGTCTCTCGGATGAATAAATAAAAATTTTAAACAAAATAGAAGTATGTCAGTATTGTTTGGGACACTGTTCTTGAGCATTCATGTGTTGGTTTATTAATTCACTCATCTAAGGGCTGTTGCTGATCTGCCGTGACAGGAACTTGGAATTAGGGCTGTCAAGACTTGCCCTGCCTTCAAGGGGCTTAGTGCCGCAATGGCTCAGATGTGCCTGCTTCTTTTCTTGGTTTCTAGATTCTGATCCGCAATCGAGTAACAGATCTAGATGCCAGGATGAATGATGGAACCACACCGCTGATCCTGGCTGCCCGCCTGGCTGTGGAGGGCATGGTGGCCGAACTGATCAACTGCCAAGCTGATGTGAACGCCGTGGATGACCATGGTAGGGATGAGAGGCAGGAATCCAGACCCTTGCTTGTAGAGCCTGTCTCCAAGGGGACTTGTTACACCAGCCTTAGAGAACTCTCTAAGAACCACATCTATTAGAATCACTCATTCTTTAACTTACACATTCATTGGTTCCCATCAACATGCTGGGTTCAGAGGCTTGAGATAATAGGAAATCCCCAGATTAAAATGAGAAGGGATTTTTACTGAGGGTGCTTGAACCGACCTCAAAACAAGTCTGTGAATGGTTTGCCACTGTAGGTGTAGGTACCTCTTGGTTGGTGAGGATCAAGGGGAGTTGCAGGGTATCTTAAATGTGCATCCTGTTGTGTAGTATAAAGGTCATTGTCTCCACTGTTTGCAAAGCAGGTTCTGCCCTATGGAGGCCATGCATGTCACATCCAAGTGCTGCTTGTTGGTCAAGGTCTGCTGATGCTGGGCAACCAGTACTGAAGTACTCCTTAGAGCAAAGGAAAAAGAGGAAGACCCTTTTGTCTTTCATGCTGCTGGTCCTCTAGGGAGTCAGGGCTCCTCATGCAAGCCACCGCCTCCTGTGCCTAGAACTCTGCCTTCCTCTGTCTGTCTGCTGACAAGATTGCTTTTCCCCTGCAGGAAAATCTGCTCTTCACTGGGCAGCTGCAGTCAACAACGTGGAGGCAACTCTTCTACTATTGAAAAATGGAGCTAACCGAGACATGCAGGACAACAAGGTACAGCCTGTGGGCTCAGAGCGTGGGGGTGTTCAAAGCAGAGCCCCAGTGGTCAGGGCCTTCTCTTTTCCTGTGCAGCTGCTCTTGTGGTCAGTAAAGAGAAAGAAGGGCGTGTGTGGGAGCTTGGGGAGGGCTGTCGGTATGTCTGGGCAGTGCCAGGAAGGAGCGTAGGCTGTCCTGAAGCTGGTGTTAGCCTCTCTGCCTTTTCTCTTGTTAGAGATATCTTTTTCATCAGTTTCCCCTTTTGCCATGCTCAGTTCTTTTTCTCTTGCTGGTTTTCTTTCATGTTTTTCCCTGTAGCCTCTTTTTCTGGAGGTGGTGGTGATGTCTGTGTGTCTGTCCACAGAAACCATGGTGTTTCCTGTGTGTTTCTTTCCTCTGAGTTGCTTGATCATGCTTCTCTTCCCTCATTCATCAACTCTTAGTGCCTTCCTGTTTTCTCTTATTCGGTTGTTTCATCTCCCCTTTCTTACATTCTTTGCTTCATTTATCCCAGTTCTGTGTGTTACAGTTTCCTCTCTCCCTGCTTTTTTTGAGTCAAACTCCTTTTTCTCTAGAGATCTTATTTGGATTAGCTGGGGACTCTGCTGAGCGAGTCTGTGTCGGGCATGCTGTGTTTCATGAGTTCGTAGCTGAGGAGATGTGACGTTTCAAGGACAAGACTGGCCTTTAGGAAGAGACGGTCTCTTTCTGTATGTGTACAGCACAGCTGTGTGTTCAGAGAGGGCCAGATGTGCGGCACCTTGGTGGTATCGACATGTTGTCTCAGAGGATGAAGAGGAGGGATAGTGTGTTCTCATCGTTTAAACGTGCGTTGTGTGGGCCTCCTCTGTAGGAAGAAACGCCTTTGTTCCTTGCCGCCCGGGAGGGGAGCTATGAAGCAGCCAAGATCCTCTTGGACCACTTCGCCAATCGGGACATCACAGACCACATGGATCGTCTCCCCCGCGATGTGGCCCGGGATCGCATGCACCATGACATCGTGCGCCTCCTGGATGAATACAATGTGACCCCCAGTCCCCCGGGCACAATGCTCACCTCTGCTCTGTCACCCGTCATCTGTGGGCCCAACAGGCCCTTCCTCAGCTTGAAGCACACCCCAATGGGCAAGAAGCCTCGGCGGCCTAATGCCAAAAGTGCCATCCCCACCAGCCTGCCTAACCTTGCCAAGGAGGCCAAGGAGGCCAAAGGTAGCAGGAGGAAGAAATCTCTGAGTGAGAAGGTCCAGCTGTCTGAGAGCTCGGTGACGTTATCCCCTGTTGATTCTCTAGAATCCCCTCATACGTACGTTTCTGATACCACCTCCTCCCCAATGATCACATCCCCCAGCATCTTGCAGGCCTCCCCCAACCCTATGTTGGCCACGGCAGCCCCCACGGCCCAAGTCCATGCACAGCACGCACTGTCTTTCTCCAACCTTCATGAGATGCAGCCTTTGGCTCATGGCGGAGCCAACACTGTGCTCCCCTCAGTGAGCCAGTTGCTCTCCCACCACCACATTGTCCCTCCAGCCAATGGCAGTGCAGGGAGCTTGGGTAGGCTCCATCCAGTCACTGTCCCAGCAGACTGGATGAACCGTGTGGAGGTGAATGAGACCCAGTACAATGAGATGTTTGGTATGGTCCTGGCTCCAACCGAGGGCACCCACCCTGGTATAGCCCCGCAGAGCAGGCCACCCGAGGGGAAGCACATAGCTCCCCCACGGGAGACCTTACCCCCTATTGTGACTTTCCAGCTCATCCCCAAAGGCAGTATTGGCCAGTCCACTGGGGCTCCCCAAACTCAGTCCAGCTGCCCTCCAGCTGTTGCAGGCCCCCTGCCCACCATATACCAGATTCCAGAAATGGCCCGTGTGCCTGGTGTGGCTTTCCCTACTGCCATGATGCCCCAGCAGGAGGGGCAGGTAGCTCAGACCATTCTCCCAGCCTATCACTCTTTCCCAGCCTCTGTGGGCAAGTACCCCACACCCCCTTCACAGCATAGTTATGCTTCCTCAAGTGCTGCTGAGCGAACACCCAGTCACAGTGGTCACCTCCAGGGGGAGCATCCGTACCTGACACCATCCCCAGAGTCTCCTGACCAGTGGTCAAGTTCATCACCCCACTCTGCTTCTGACTGGTCAGATGTGACCACCAGTCCTACTCCTGGAGGTGCTGGAGGTGGTCAGCGGGGACCTGGGACCCACATGTCTGAGCCACCACACAACAACATGCAGGTGTATGCATGAAGGAGTCTGCCTCAAGCGGAGGACCAGAACTGCCGATTGTAAATGCTGCTGAGGAACAAATGAAGGTCATTCGAGAGAGAAATGAAGAAATCTCTGGAACTAACTTCTGGAGGCAGGAGGGAGAAGATGCTTCTCTCTCTCAGATAATACAAGAGAAGCAGCTATTGCACTTCACTGGGCAACCACAGGGTTTTGGTGGGAGCGACAAGGCTCCTGCTAACCTCTTGCCCGTCGATCCAAGTTCACGGAAATGCAAGAATACAAGCCTTGATGCCGTGTTTAGTGTCTTCTGGTCGGAGAATAAGATGTTGTGCCTGTTGTTGCCCAGACATCCTTCTAGCTTGGACTGTGTTTTAAGCCCCATCCACAGAAAGATCCTGCACTCAGAGTCCTGTTGGGAATGGTGCCCTGGAATTCTGCCCGAGTTGACTTATCTTCTCATCTTGGAAGTTGCTTCGACTTCATTTGGTGCTTTTGTTTTTGCACCTCTTGGTGGTTGTAGCTCCACCAGCATGTTATAGGGACAAGACCTTTATGCTTTTGATCATTCCTACCTAGAGAGCAACTTCATCTGCCTTTCCTCCCCACAGCACTGAAAGTCCCACAGGGTTTATTTGGCTTGGATTTTTTTTTTTTTAGCATAAACCTTTCCAAATGCTTGTTTGGAAAATGGACATGTGACATTCTCCTACCTATATCACTCCTAGAAAGAGGAGAACAGAAATATTAGTCTTTGAACCAGATTTGGGGATAGGATTTTAAGGCTGCACCTTAATCCTCTTAGCAGAATGCAGGGCTTCATATAAATTTTATCAGGTAGGATACAGGTCAGTTGCTTTCTACTCAGTATGAAGTTTTGTCCTTGGTAACCTAGATACTGTGATCCTTTCACTTAAAAAAAAAAAACAAAAAACCAAAACTGGCAGAAGAGTGGAGATTTTGCGATGGTCAAGAGATAAGCTAACTATGCAAGGAGTGGTCACACATCCTCAGATCCCTCCACTTCCTGCCAAGCATTCCATTACTGCCAGTGCAAGACACGTTGGTGCCAAGTCTTAGGATTCTGGGCTTGTTTCCTTCCCTCCTCCACTGGATGAAGCTGGTCTTAGCTGGTGAACCTTTCCTTCCATCTGCACAGAAGAACATGTCTCGAGCAAAAGGCCTTGGCCACACAGGCTGGACTTCTACACCAAGAGGCTTCCTTGCATCAGATGGCAGCCTCCACTTCACCGTACACATGCTGGTCACAGGCCCCGTCACCATGCTGCACACTGTGACAGGAACTGGAGAGTTGAACTTGTTTCCTAGGGCCTCAGCCAGCCCTTTAAGAAAGGTGGGAAGCGAGAACCTGTGCAGCAGCCTTTGTGGGTTTTTGCTGCCATTTCTTAACCTGTGAAGCAGCCTTCACGGTCCCTCTTGGGCAACTAAGTATAGCATCTGACCAGGGATGTTTAGCTTTTCACCTCCTAGATGATGATGGACAATTACGGACCTGTTCACCATTGTCATCTCTGTGTCCATACTGCACTTCAGTGGGGTCTGTCTGCTTCTTTTCATGCCCTTAGCAACTTCTTGGTTGCCTGTTAAAAGGTGTTTTAGTCAGCGATGGTAAAGGAGAACAATTTCCTTCGTCTTTTTCCCTGGGTTACTGAAAGATCGGTCCCATGGTCACGTTTCCATTTCTGCCTGGAGGCTGTCACGCACATCATACTTGCAGCATTGGCACTGCCGGAGCATTTTGCAGAGATTAACAGATGAATTGTCCTGTTTTGTTTTGAATCAGAGTTTTCATCCTTGTTGTGGCTGGATATATTCGTCAGGGCTTCCCACTCGTGATTTATCTGTCTGTGGCCTCACGGGAGTTCTGTGTTTCTCTTGGCATGAAAGTCTACAAGACTTTTTCAGTCTTGTCCAAGGTCATTGAACCAGCAAAAATAGTTTTACCATGATTATAAACAGATTATGTGTACTCATTCTCTGTTTTATTCTTGGACATGGTAACATTCTGCCAGTCCCTTTCACAGAGCGTAAACATCTTTATCATTCCACATAGTGACTCGCTGCCCTTGAAGCCATTAACTGTGCACAGATGGGAAGACCCCGTCTGCCTGGACCACAGCACACCTACACCTCCCTGCCCCTCTGCCTCAGCCCCGCTTTCCGACCCTGTCCGCCTGACCTAGCTGTTCGACTCTCTCACCCCCTACCCCTCTTCAAGCACAGTATGGGACTGACTTGCTCGTTCTCCCCCCTTGGGACACTTTTATTAGGATCCTTTGAGACTGGGGAGAGAACGAGAAAACTGCCATGATTAGACCAGTACTGACTTTCACACGTCTTACCAGTCTCTTGCGTTGTGTAGTGTGTGGTAGCTGGGAAGGTAAGACAGAGGATCGCTTTGTCTCTGGACTTTTGATTTGATGACCTACGTTTCTACGGGACCCATCTTTTATTCCATGTATAGACTACCCACATTTTTTTTGTTTAATTTTATTTTTATAATCTTTGCTTTGACTCCTCTTCCATCTGCCTTCGAGGATAGCTTTTTGTTTGTTTCTTCTGTTTCATTTTAAATGTCATTTTCTGACTTACATGATGGTGGAGGGCGGGAGCGGTCTGAGGAAGGAGAGACTGAATGTTACAGATGTTAGTGAAGGCAATCAGCTATGATGCTGAAATCTATCATATCATCTTATTAAATTTGCTAGTTCATAATCGTGCGTAGAACCAAAGGTTTCATGTTTTTCTGCAAGGCTTGGGGATTTTGGCCTTAACCTATACATTGAATGTGTGATGCCTGGGAGGACATGTTTCGGTACCCCAAGGCCCCCATCAATAACTATTTGGTACTACGGTGACTTCCTTGTGTACATTTCTCTTAAAAGTGATCCTATATCTGTTTGTATGAGCAACTCAGTAACCAATAAAATGACGGCATATTCCTGACTCTATGATAAGGAAAATGCACACTTTGTTTTTACTTCTCAAAGTTTCATTCTAAAAAGTAGCTTAAGATGAAATTTATATGAAAGCATTTTTATCACAAAATAAACAAAAAAAGTTACATGTCAAGTTCAGTGATGTTGCTTTATTATTTTCCAGTTCATCCCTAGCCTTGCAGTGCTGACCTCATGATGCCATAATTTGATGACGGAGAAATGATTTTTCTTTCACTCTGCATCCCACGGTGCCTAGCACTGGGCTGCTTTCTCTGCCTCTAGTCAGATCATCAGTAAATGCTCCCAGGGAAAAAATTCCATCAGATTAGGAGCAACGTGGTATGGTGAGAGTCATCCTTCTGTGTGCTGACCGCACCTGATGGCACGTGGGCGGACACTGCAGACAGCGTGCCTTCCCGTGGACGGGGAGAGCTGCCAAGGAGTGAGAACTGGGAGGCAGGCAGTAATGATGATGCTGTCTAAACCACTGGTCTATAATAGTAATATCCTGCCAATCACATTTTGTATAGAACACAATCATTTATAAAATGGCATTTGCATATAAATCAGTTACCATGTTCACACTGACAAAGTCAGTCTGAAACATTTCATGTTGGGGATGTGTGTGGCACTAACAAATTAGCCTCAGTGCATCTGTTTTACTTCCATAGTCTTGTTTTGCAGAAAGTTCTGGATCACAAATGCAGTTACAAAGTGGAACAGTATGTTTTAAATGATTTCACTTGAAATCGTGGAATTTGCTTCATTTGCGCAGATACAAGTTTTACTCAAGACCTGCACAAATGTTTTAACTCTTTTGGCAGCACACATGAGTTAATGCTCAAAATGTTACGTAAGCCACATTTGAGGAGCAGGTGTTTGGCTTGTGGTTCATTTGCATGCGTCCCAAACTGAAGTGCTTGGGTTCCATTCCCAGTTCCAGTTCCTAGTTCCAGTTTCCTGCTAATGCATATCTTGGGAAACAGCTGTGAAAGCTTAAATAGTTGGGTTCCTGCCAAGCCTCTGGGAGACCTGGACAGTTCTCAGATTCGGCCTGACCAGTCCTGCCATGCAGGCATTTGGGCAGAGAACCAGCTGCTGGAGAAACCCTCCCCACAGATTCTTCTTTGAGTCTGTATGTTGGAGGATAATAAAAGGAAAAAAGGAACTTGAGAGAAATGGTGAAAGAAGAAAACGAATTTGAGAACGAAGAAGTGAACCTTACTTACAGGCCAGCCTCTCTTTCCTAGATCGGCTCATAGCCTAGTTGGACAGTCACTGTTTCTGTAGATTCTGCGTGCAGGTTGCAAGTCCACTGTCCAGAGTCTACCCTAATGAGCCTGGTGACATCTTGCAATTGTATAGGGAGAGTGGAGGCTTCTCCCAACCCTGAAAGCCAAGTGAGCTTGGATAGCAATGTCAGGATCAGACCAGAGGAGGAGTGGGACCTCCTTCTACCCTGCAACTTAAAAAACAAACTGGATCAGAATGGGGCATGACAGCCCAGAGGAAGAGGACTGGCTCTTCATGGAGAATGCAATGAACGGAATAACCTTCCTTCCCCGTGTGTGTTGTCCTGGGTGCAGACCATGTGGTATGCCTGCATGTTACCTGCCTCTGCCACTAAATTTTCGTGCCATGGGATGTTTGTGAGAGGCCTGTGAAATAGGGAATCCTTTGAACTTACAGCTCAGCAAAATGTATTAAAAATATTTTTTCCAGCCATGAGTCCCAAACACAAAGTGTGGGCACACTCAGGATATTCCACAGAGAGCTTCTCTAGAGAAAGGGTTCACTTTAAAGTTGGTGCAAGGTAAGTGAACCCTTAGAGCTAGACACCCCAGATGGGTGTGAGCTGGGAAAAGCTCCAGGGACCTGCAAGGAGAAGGAACTGCTGTGTGTAATACTTGATCAATGAAAACAATAATTCCAGCTGCTTAGGGGCAGGTGTTGTGATGTCGAGGGTTAAAAGCTGCCTCTTGCAACACCTACAAGTGCTATCAGAGTGCCTGGGATCAAGTCCTGCCTCCACTTCCTCACCAGCTTCCTGTCAATGCAGCTGGGAGCCAGGGGCGGGAGTGATGGCTCACGTGCCTGGGCTTCTGCCACCCACATGGGAGACCTGGATGGAGTTCCAGCCTTCTGCCTTCATCCTGCCCCAGATCTGGATGTTGTGGGCATTTGGGAAGCAAGTAAAAGGATGGAAGAGTATCTCTCTCCCTTCCCCGACTGCGACATTCTGCTTTACAAATAAGTTTTTCTAAAAAAAGAAAACTTCCAAAGTTCAGTTGCGTAAGATGTAGAGCTGCATAGTTGAACTTAGAGGAGCCAATGTAATTAGCCTGCTGCAGGAGACTCCTGGCGTCCATATTTCCAAGATACCTCACCGTCTGGGTCCTGGCTGTTGTTTGGCGCCACCTGGTGGTACTTACCTGCCTCTGCTCAAGTATTGTTTGATTCCAGATTTTGTAAACCGGCGAAACTTTTCAAGAGCTTCATGGTAAGTCGTCACTTGTTTCTTAACGCCCGGTTTCTGAGAATTTAAGAGAGGCTGCAGTGGGCTGCAGACAAGTAACAGAATTGTCTTATGCTTCTCAGTGAACCCCTTTTTCTTGCTTCCATTTGAGAGAGAAAAACTCCTTCCTTTCCCGTTTGGGAAAGCTGACAAGAAAGGACCTGGCAGAAGATAGGCAGTCACTGGTAGCCAATCTGCACGGAAGAGCTGTGGCTCTAGCGATTGCAGGCTTCTTGGGGTAGATTTGGAAAGGATACTAATGAGACTGCACACCTGGGAAAACTTTCTGAAAAACAAGCACAGATTAGTAGGAATTCAGTAGGAAGAAATTAGTAAAACATCCAGAGCAGCAGCCAGAAACAAAAACACTTGGAAGATGTAACTGAAAGATGTAACAGCAAACATCAGACACCACATACGCAAATAGCCTTTAGAAAAAAATGCAGGCTCCATGTATCCCCGAATATTCCCCGCTGCATATTTACCAATTATAGCTGATCAATTAGAGCATTGTCTGTTATAGTATTAGCAATCACTTTACTGTTTCAACTGTTGCTTTATTTACAGCCTTAACTCTGCTCTATTCTAGTTTTCATCCTGTTTTCCCATTTTTCTGCTCTATTCATTCTTGTATTCTAGATACAGTTTTAAATAAATCTAACCATGTCCACAACTGAGATAAAACTCAGTAAAATGCTCAGTTATTTGAATCCACATCAATATCGTCTTGCATAATTCCGAGTCCCGGGTACCACCTTCTCCAAAGTGCGCAGTCCTCCTTGTTGGGTACATTCATCCATCTTTGTGGACTCATGGAGGTGCACCTGCTGATCTTTGGCTGACCGACATCGAAACGACCTATCCTGAAACTCCATGGCAGAAAGATCTTGTTTTAATAACATGTTACATACAGGACATTGAAAACAGGAAAAATCTATGAATATATTTCAGGATTAACTGGAACAGTCACACAGATTGAAAACATAAAGCTCAGGAAGTTTCAAAAAGTATCATACAAATAACTAATTGTCCCCAAACACAATATTAAAAACTAGGAATAAAAGAGAACTGATATTACCCATATGAAAGATTCAAGCAGTGCTGAGGCACACTTACATAAGAGACTGATGGAATTATGACTCCTTATGAAGGACTATACGATTGTAGCAACATGGGGAAAATCTGTTGAGAGGTGGGAGTTTGGAGGGAATCCCAGTCTATATGATACCACAAAATTCAAAAATTCAAAAAAAAATTTAACAAGAAAAAAAGATTTTAAAAAATATCAGTATTCAGAAATAATATAAAAAATAAGATATTTAATACTGCACAAAATAGTCCCATCATGTTAGAAACAATAGTAAAGCTATGGAAAGCAACCAAAGTTTTAAATAGAAAAACCTTAAGGCCACCCAAGAATTTGGTGTAGAGTAGGCCAGGCCACAACTTCCACCAGCATACAAAAAGACAGGGACTGGGGGACAGCTGTACCAGGTAAAGCCTAGCACTTGCACACGTGAGACCAGGTCTGGCCAAGCTTCAACAGCGCGTATCTGGATGAGTTGATACGTGGAGGTGGAATGCAGCCAATGGGCTTTGGAGGAATTTCCTAAACCTTGGAGCAATGAAGTCACCAGCATCCTGGAACTATTGAAACCACTTAAGTAGCACCCTCAGAATATGTTCCACGTTGGGGACCCTGGGATGACACTGAGGGGCTGACCCATGTCCCCAGGTACTGATGCAGTTAGGCTGCTGGGAGTACCCCTCCCGCTCTCCTTTCTTCCCTTAGAAACAGGAAGAATAGGAAGGAAGGTTGGAAGCAGTTGTCTCATCCAATTTCCCCCTTTCCTTGACCCTTCCTGCCCTAATCAGTGTTCCACACAGGATGCATCGTTCCCAACTATGTAAACATCAAAAATAAAGAAAAACCTTAGCTTCAATTCCAGTGTTATGGCAGAAAGACTGACTTAATAACATAAGCCTGTTCTTCAAGAACATTGACAATCACAGACTAAGAGAAAGAAGGAAGGAAGGAATCGAGATAAAAGAGGCAAAAACAGGTAGTCAAGATAGCAGAAATTAGTGAAGTAATTGAAAAAAGAGATACTTTTCCTCAAGGCTGGTTCTTTGAAAGACATAAAAATTCTCTGGAAAACTGAGGAAATTCTATCAATGCATGACTAAGAAGATGAGGACTATAAAAGTAGGATTCACCTGCAGACACAGAAGATTAAAAATCCTAAAAGAATTTAATACCTTTATTCTAGTACTTCAGGAAAAAAAAAACAGACCTAGATACTGACACATAAAAGTTTTACTGCAGTTTATAAGCTATCTTTATTATAACCACCCAGAGAAGTCAAAATGAAAAAAATACCCCCCAACCTGTTTTACAAATGCAAATCTTGAAAGCAAAAACCTCCCAATGACAATGTGATTAAAGAAAATTACAGGTGTATCTCTCAATGTCACCACACAGAATTTTCCAGATCTTTAGGCTCTGATTCCTCTAGTATTTGTTCCTTTACTGGAAAGGCAGACTGACAGAGAATGGGATAAAGAGAAGAGAAGAGTGAGGGAGGATTTGAAGGAGGCAGGGAGATGTGCCTGCTGGTTCTCC